GTCTACTGAAGTAATCATTGCTAGTGGCCACAATTCTTCACTTCTTCAGAAATCTTCTGAATGTGTTCGCTAGACTTCTCATGCTGTTTTGGATCATGAGCCTTTGCCTGAATATCCAAGCAAAAATATTGGGAGATGATCCGATCTAGAAATATTGCCAGGTCAATGGATCATTACAAGTCTTTCAGAAAAGAACAGCGCCTCTGGCGGAGTTCCACTTCCCGGCTCCATTTTCCCCATGAGGACCGCGGTATCAGGCAGAGCCAGACCGTTAATTCTCCAAGACCCGCCTGAGGCGGCAAGACTTTATCTAGATAAGCTGGAGCCTTGCGGACAGAACAGGATATCCCATAAGCTTTATAAGTTCACCGGTAATAACTATATTTCACTGAAGTGCAGCGCGTACTTTTTGATGTAATACTCTCAACAAGTTAGCTACGTTTTGCATTACGATCGGCTTAAAGTGACGTAGGCTATGGTCTCCAGTTGCATATGTACCTCTGAAGCGGAAACGCGTCAGGTTTATGTGTGGTGTGCCTCCAGGAGTTATCTCTGTCAGAAACCCGAAGCTTTCGGTCTGTAAGTCGATCTTACCTTTGAATGGCACAGTCGATGTTGTTCGCCCAGATGGGTCTATGGATCGTGCGGCTTAGCCTGGGTAGTCGTACAACCGTCGAAAGATCTTCTTACGGTTCCCGTTCTGAGTCAGCTGTACAAGATGACACAACTCAGCAGAAAATCTCATTTTCCATGAGTGGCACTTAAAACACAGTCTTTTTAGTGCAATTTATGATTATTAGCGTCAGACTGTACTGTACAGGCAGTAGCTGATATAGTGCATGATGTAGTGACCGTTACTTGGCCTTCCGATCTGGTTCAGAGGGGAGGTGAACTAGAAAATACATCAGTGTTCATCTTCAAAAATTGCATATTCTGACGTTTTCAATCACCTCCAACTGGGTCAACCATACTATCCGTCTGCCCGAGCCCGGTGGCAAGCCTTTGTTGTGGAGCATCAAATAATTAACTTGAGTCTTATCGTCAGAGATAGCATCAGTTCCGGCAGATATTTTACTCAGGTAATGCGGCTGCGGCAGACAGGTGAACGATCACCTGTGTCACGTCGTGACTGATGGATCCCCGATCCGCGGCAGGTGAACAATCGGTTTGTCAGTGAAATATGGGGCACCCGAGATGCCGTGCTGGAGAGGTGCCTGACGACAGTCTATCTCCTGTAATGAGGATTGGAACTGCTGGTCACTTTAACGGGCGCTAGCTGATCCTACTGCTCCTGTAAATCATGCACTTAAGCACTATTATCGACTTGTTCGACGATCAGACGGTAAAAAAGTTGTTGTTTTGTTCTTCTTAGACGTTTTTGAAAATCTGTAGTTCCACATCTCGTTCATCATCTTTGCGTGTCATCTTAATAAATGTTTAAGAACCTTTTTCGGGGTAAACATTGACTACAAAACATGAAAAGCAAGCCCAAACATATGACAAGAAGACAAGAAGAGCCAACTGTAGATGCAAAAGTGTACCGATCGCCTGAAGGTGACCTGATTGAAAGTACATGTATGTCAGATAGTATGTAACCTTATGTCACAGGGTAGATGAGATACGTTACCGCAGACGTGCCGTCTATTCCCACACGTGTCTCTGAGAGCGGTCCAAGGCAACAGTGTTGGGAGTCGCAAACACGGCAAACAATATCCCAGCCGCGATGCCTTGCGCAGATAAGGTGAATCTAATCAACCTGCAATTGCAAATCAATGCGCTTGTGCCGACCCCGGCACGTATGCTCGCTGTTTAACGTCATTATGAAAACATAGAACGCCATTACTGCACGGCTGGAGAGCGGCCAGTTCCAACTACAGGTCACCGGAGTGCACGCGGGATAATGATTTCTCTGACGGGAGAAGTCCACCAAGATTTCGGGTAATAGACTTTTGAAAGATACAAATTGGTCGGCCTGTCACTACCTCCTGCAGACAGGCAACTCGTTCTCACTACGTTTAACGCGATGTCTTTATTTCTAATCATGTTCGCTAATGGTACATTTTAATACTCATTTGTCTCATTGTGTAATCATACCTCACGGTGAGCATCTCAGGAGGATCGGAAGAAAACATTTTAGCTTTATAAGCTAAGGATAGACGTCTGTTAATTGTCTGGCATGTATGACTTGACTTTCTGAGAGTAACACGGTGAGATAATAATGTCAACTCGTGGGTGATGTGGGGTACTCGTAGTGCTGTTACTTTTTCCCGTCCATGTGAGTTCCCTAGCTTTATCGACATCAGCTAGGATAAGAATACGAAGGCATGATGCGCCGTTCACTTTGCACTATATTTTCCCTCTAAGACATCCGCAGAGTTTCAGCTCTCTCGTGACCGTATATGTTGTTGAATGATATGACTAGCTTTTTAACGGTTTGTCTTAAGAACACGCTCTCCGCCACTGCAGTTGCATTTGCCGTTTTACTCTTTCTTTGATTTGTCCTTTGGGAATTTCGCTATACCCGAGATTAAGCCATATGGGCGTTATGAACGTTTTTTCATGTAATGTACTCATGAATGTAATCCCCAAATCCATTGTAGGCATCCAGTCACCAGCCTGCAGTGATCCATGACATCCGTTTTGTGCAGAACGTTTATCCCACTAAAAGCTACGGCGCTGATTTGCATGTTGAAAAGGGAGACGTGCTTAGTGTACGTCTTATCCTGGATGACTTCTCGGAAATCAGTTTGATTACAGAGTTTGATCACATGTACAATCTATCGAATTAATGAGATCTAGTCATGATATCTATATCTAATGAATAGTCCCCTACAGTCTGTCGTCTTAGCACACAAATTAAACCTGGCTGTGCCAAAACAACTTTCGACTGGGTTCGTTCCAACGTTGTTCGCGTGGTTTTGTGTTACGATGCATATGGTTTTTAGCTTAAAGGCTTGGTCTGAGATAGGAGTTATTGGGCCCCCAAACAGCTACTTTATGAACTACAGCTTCATGTCCAACTGAGAGAAAATTCCAGTTGCTCATATATTGTGTCAACGAGTTCTGTTAGTTCATTCGTGACGCTGAAGAAGATGTCACTCGAAACGAACGGAAATTATCTCCGTAATTTATCCAGTAGTAAAGTTTGAATTCCCTATCAGTAGTGCTTACCTGGATGTTTAACCTTCATCGACGTACGCTTGCGTATGTTTATTTTCTCTTAGCGCAGTTTGTAGTTTGGGTTGTTTTGATTGAAATGCCGGCGTCACGGCGTTTCTAACCCACAGAGGTACCAGAAACACGAGGTGAAGTAATATGCTGTAGAAGATGTGTGATTGTAGCGGCGCGTGTGACACATTACAGACCCGCAGGTAGACGCCCCAGATTCCGCTAGTACGTTGATATCTCTGAAAGCTTTTGTGGTCGACTTAAGTACTTAAGCTTGTTTTGATTGAAATGTCGGCGTCTAACCCACAGAGGTATCGGAAACACGAGGTGAAGTAATATGTGCGGATGATGTGAAGATGTGTGATTGTAGCGGCGCGTGTGACACGTTACAGACCCGCAGGTAGACGCCCCAGTTTCCATTAGTCCCTCCGGTCGCGGAGGAGCACGTTCTGGCCGCCAGGCGTGATCCTCGCCAATTTGTCTGCCGAACACAAATCCGCCGCATCACGACGACTCAAGGCCCCGATACATCACTGTAATGCACTGTTTCGCCATAATCAAGGTTTCATCTGCGTGAATATAGAAAGCTTCTTTACTGAACCCCGTTATTGATGGGTGGAGGTGGGACTAAAGTGGACGTGGATCAAATCGGCCCTGTAATCACTGCGTAAGTCGCGATCTCTGAAGCACCAGGGACGATCGGGTAATATTAACGGGATCATAGCCGGGGACACCCTGAAGGTCATCAAGGAGGTTGGAATTAATATTACAAATGTTGGTATCAAGCTCTATCTGATTCCCTCTGATGTTTCACATCGCGTCCAAAATGCGGGGCACCTGTGAGGGATGATACCGTGTCAGTCAGTCGCCCGCCCCCTCAACCGTGGTCAGGTCATTGACCTCAATGATGTTCATTATACGCATTATCCTCCCCAATTTCCGATCAAATCACCGTCCGCTGCCGTGAAGGTCCATACGTCAACCTGCCTCCACCATACATCCTCTGCTGGCCGCCCTGTTGTTATGTGTGATAAGGCCTGTCGTCCCTGTCCTTGGTGCTGAAAAGCAGGTGACATTAAGATACCGAATGGAAATATCCATTCATACTTCTATGTCGTCCGATAATGAGTCCCTTTTGTCAGAAAATGAATATGAATATGTGGGATTGCTGTGTGTATTTTTCTTTTTTATGATGACCGCCAGGGTTAGCCTGAGTGCCATGCTATTTGTATACCGAGGTTAACATTAGTGCGCGAGTATGGGAGGCAAGGCATACAAATAGGACGGCACCCAGGCTACGATAGGATCACATGACTGTTGTGAGATAAAACAGACCACAGACCAACTCGGACGTATAATAACACCAACAATGGATACCCGCCACTACTGGCCTAGAAAAATGTTGCATCTTTTTGTGTTGTATATGTCACGAGTCCCTCACGACAGTGAATGACAATATGTCGCCATTCCTTATCTGTTACTGTGCTGACTGTTTTGAGATAAACAGACCACAGACCGACTAAGACGTTTGACAACGCCAGCAATTTATACCCGCCACTGGCATAGAAACATTCTCATCTTTGCGCCAAAATCAGTTCCTCAAGCAACTGGATATGATTTTGGAAACGGTCGGACGTTTCAGGTAGCTGCCACTACCTTTCGTCAGTGACACTAGAGAGTTGTCAGAAAAGCAGGTTTAGCAATTGATTGACAGGCAAATAAGTGAATACAATATTTTTCCATCAATTTTCGTCTTTGTATTGTATCTGTCACGGCAGTCAATGACAAGATGTCGCCATTCCATGTTTGTTACTGTAGGCCAGCTGATCGACATGAGGAACGGCACGCTCAGGGTCGTCACCATTCTCGTAAGTACAAACATCTGCAGCAGAAGATTAAGATTTATTGATACATAACGTTTTTAACAAGTTGAACAAGGCAAAACGTTAAAAGGCAAAGAACTACAATCAGTTACGCTACCAGGTATCGACTGCCACGTACAGTAGTAAAACAGGGGAAAATATGTTATATTGTATCACTTGAAATAAATTAAGACGGAAGTAAATGTCACCACTGACACTCGGCCCGTTTGATTTATCGCACAAATAACACAAGACATTTGTCAAAATCTATCAGTGTGTCGGCAACTCCCACAGTAAACGTCATCTCTTGTTCAAGTGTGAAATATATATTACTGTGTCGTATATCATCATGGCAAGTCCGTACATTGATTGAGCTGTCATTTAGTCAACCATGTATAAGAGTTTGTTTACGTTGCACAGTTGTCGCCCATACCTCATTTGTTCCAAAGATGCGTTGATTGATATCTGATGCAGTAATTTTTGGTTGAGTGGAAACAATGTGGTTTTTACTGGTCGTAATTTGTCACACAACAGGAGGCGCCATTCACCATGAAAGAGACGACAGCGGACGGGAGTTACAAGTACACGGGCTTCTGTGTGGACATGATAAACGAACTGTCGCGCATGCTCAAGTTTGACTACGACCTGTACGAGGTGCCTGACCGAACCTACGGTGCCCTGAGGGATGACGGGACGTGGAGCGGGATGGTTGGGGAGCTGGTAAATGATGTAAGTGGAGTTCTGTGAAAGACCGTAAAAAGTTTTAATGGTGACATAGTAAAAGTGCTAGTGTAGATTTGGTGACCTAATTAGGGAAAATGGGAGGTCAATGACGCTAGAATAGGAAAATAATGAGTGTTGAAAATTGGACAGAATTACACCAAGGCAGAAAATATACACAAGGAAGTTGGGTGATATAGTACATTCTAACAAATGTTTTAAAAAAGTATTGGTTTAATTCAACCTCGCAGACAAGGTGTAAGACACAGGGTTGTACTGCCAAATGAACTGCTTACATTTTCCAGAGAGCAGACATAGCTCTTGCCGCCTTCACAATAACGGCACAACGGGAACGAGTTGTGGACTTCAGCGAGCGTTACATGGACTACGGGACCGGCCTGCTCACTATGAGGTACGGTTGTACTAACACTAACACTAACGCTGCCACTGTTACAGGAAGCGGACATCGCCCTGGCCGCATTCACTATCACGTCAGAAAGGGAGCGGTACGTCGACTTTACCGAGCGTTACATGGACTACGGTATCGGCTTTCTCATGAAACGGTTAGTGGCAGCTGATCTGATGCATGAGCGTCTTTTGAAGACCCCTCCTTACCCTTACGTGAACGTGAAGACATCCCTACATCCTCCCCACTCGTCGTCATCCCTTCCCCGTACTACTACCGTGCTCCGTGTCCTGCCATTCCCCACTGACAGAGGAGAACCCGTTGCTTTGGTGCTGCATGCTGTTGTCATATCTCCTAGCCTTCTGTGTGGTTTTTCGTACATTTCTCTGGGTTTATTATACCTTCGGTCATGATCATCCTTCATCGGTTGTTCTTCGTGTGCGTATGTGGCTTTTGAGTTTTGTGGATCTCGGGTTGGCCCGGTCACATACTAGTACCTTGATTGCATCATCTTGTACACCTACACGTCACACTGGATAAGCATGCCATCATCATTACCCGGACCATTTTTGTGTATCCTCCTGTCTATGTTGATGTGCGACTGATATTCCTCACTGAAAGCTACCATTAGAGAAGCATTACTTGCTTCTAAACATACATGTACATCTTTGGACGTGTTAAAAGTTCAATTTTGTTAAACATATATGCCTAGAAGTGGCTTCCAAACGAAATTATATGGAGCAATTTGTCATGGACAATCTGAACTGCTGCTCAATTGTTTTCCTGTTGGTCAGCTGTATCTGGCCAACCCGCCTTTCTTGCATAGGTCCTTTGCTTTTGCAACCGTCACCATCAACCATTGACTGTCCATACCATTTTCAACAGAAACCAAATCATCTCCGGGATCCTTGGTGTGATTGAACCATCTGGTTTAGTTAATATGGTGTATATGTTAATTTTGACGTGTTGAATTCATTCATAATAGTATTGCATATGTCTTACATTCTCATGTGTATTTCTTCTTATAATCTGCTGGGTGACCCCGAGCAATAATCTTCTTAATGTTCAATGTCGATGTTGCGTTGTGTTGTACTCATACCGTTTAAGCAATTGCTGATTATAACTACCCTTATGGATCGCATGGCGTACTTTAAACAAAACAATCAAGGAAAATCGTCACAAACAGCTCAACTATTTATATGAAAGTGTCCGTTTCGGAAAACGTTGTTGCATACGACTTGGCAGTGAAATTGCTTTTAATCCTTCTGATTTCGGCAGTTTTGATAAAGACCTGCCATCTGTGCTTCCGCAGGTCCAACAAAGAAAAACAGAACTACTTCGCCTTCCTGCTGCCCTTCCAGCCCGTGGTGTGGGCCTGCCTTCTGGCCGCCATCTTTGTGGTCGCCATCATGCTTTTCATTACTTCGCGCATCCGGATCAAACTGAACATTGCAAATCCGGGAAGAGACAATGACCGGCAATTCAACATCCGAAATTCCATCTGGTTCGCCTACGGATCTTTGGTCAGAAAAGGTGAGTTTGCAGTGTCTGTAGCGTTGCCGTAAAACACATCGGTGAGCACTTCTTACCAGAAATGATTTGTTAGTCATCAAAGCCATGGGTAGAGCTTATAGGCTTAAGATATCAGACATCCAATAAAGCGGTTTTCTCTGTTCAGGTTGCTCAGCCTACGCTTTGTGACTGCTAATCGCGAGTAGTGTTAGAAGTTGCTATGATAAACAGAACTTGTTTTTGCAGCATAATGGGGCCATTAAGGCGCGTTTGCTTTTATCAAAGATTAAGAAAGCAACTCTCAAGACAGTGTAATCCATGCTTTCACGGCGCGAAGCTAAACGAAGGGCACAGCTATAAATTTACCAACCATGTCCCATAGTTTGTAAGCTGGTGGGATTCAGCCTACAACTTAACGGGAACCTATTACGAACCTTTGATGAATTAGAAGGTGGCTGCTTTAAGTACCCGTCTGTGCTCCATCCCCAGAGTCAGCAGTTGTCAGTATTACCTACACTTTTTATCCGAGCTGGTCGCTGAAGCTTCAAAGGGAGCCCAAATAACTCATAGAGTAGATGTTAATGCGTTTTTTGTTCAGGTGGCGCAACGGTTAGAGCATTGGACTCGGAACCAATAGGTCCCGAGTTCGATACTCACCGTGGCCCGACGTTGTGCCATTGGGAAAGGCACTTTACACGACTTCCCTACCGGTACGGTGGAGTGACACCACCGAGCTTCTTAATCTTGCCTGTGTAACAAAAACACACTACAGATTTGGTGCGCCAATGTGTCAACATCTGCACATTATATTTGCCACCGAGAGCCGTTAGAAAAATTTGTTCACGTCCGGTTTGAACCCGTTCCTAATCCCCCAGGAGTGGAGCCGGCTCCGCGGTCCCTGCCGGTGCGCATCATGGCGGGTACATGGTGGCTGTTCGGCCTGATCGTCATCTCCACCTACACCGCCAACCTGACTGCCTTCCTCACCGTAAAGCGCCTGGAGCAGCCCATCAGGTCCATCGACGACCTGGCCAAACAGACGGAGATAGCCTACGGCATTCCCACCGGCGGCGGCCTCTACAGCTTCTTCCGCAGCCAACAAGGTAACATGTCAAGTCAAGTCAAGTCAATCTTTATTGCACAACAATTGTAACGGGTACGATGCATGGCAAACTCTTTAGTACTACATATCTAGCTAACATCTACTCTCACGTCTACAGTGACTACAAGTTCTATGTATCGACATGTGTCACACTACCCTTGCCATTGTAATGTTGGAGTCACGTTTCCAAGCCGGGGCCCGGCCGGGCAGTTTGTGGGAACGAAAAGTATGATACAAAAGACAACAAAACACACGAAACGTGTAAAAGACCATTATTAGCGTAATTTCGGCATTTTCGTGACATGTACTTTTTATTTTTCGTTCATTCAAACAGTCCAGCCAGGCACGACGTAGAATTGTGACTCCAGCATAAGTAAAGTATTTCGATTGATAACAGAAAGCTCACGTTGTCTCTGATTTGGCCCTTGACGTAAAGAATATCACTTGTTTAAGCTTAGGGCTCCCTCTTCACACTATGGATGACCACAGCTTTGTAATGATATTACGGAGATCTAATAAATATTTCATTCATTTATTGATCACAAAACTGCTGAATGAATGTAATTGAAACTTGGTCCTTACAACCCTCCTCCTGTATCCAGGCACAGGAACGATCTATGAGCTGATGTGGAACTACATGAACACTGAGCCCACAACCTTCGTCAAAGGACTGACAGGAGGGGTAGAAAGAGTCAGACAGGTACACCCAACTTCGTCGTAGTGTGCAAAAGTAGCGACTTGGTCTTGAATGTCATCTCTAATAAACAATTAAACCGTGAACTCAACGTCTCCTTCTGACATTCATTCATTCACTCATCCATCCATCCATCTACTCATCTATCCCTCCCTCCCTTCCTCCCTCCCTCCTACATCCATCCATTCATCCATGCATCCACCCATCTTTGCAGGGAAACTTCGTCTTCATGTACGATGCGCCCATACTAGAATACCGGGTGAACACAGATTCCAAGTGCCAGTTGCTGCTGCTGCCCAATACTTTCCGTCCTCAGGGCTATGGCTTAGCAACCAGGAGCGACCCTGCCTTGCAGGAAGGTCTATCGTTTGGGTATGTTTTTTTTAAGTACGGGTGGGGCTAGTTATGATTAGCGTCCTCACGCACAATCCAGAGGAGAGAGTTTCACCTACGTAAAGCACATGTAGAACCTAGCAGTAGCGACTGAAGACAAGCTAAGCAGCCAGTGAGTACCCATATTCACTTCCTCTAAAAACAAACCACTTGCAACTTATCCTGAGTACCATCCGGATTTTGGCTCCGCAACGCTTGAAAAAATTGAGCGTTGCAGCGCCAAAATCTGGATGGTACCCAGGCTACTTGCAACTTGAACTGGTGGCAAATCACTGCACTAAATGCTGATGTGTCGCTTCCCCGTGGCAAGTGTGTGAGGACGGTCAATCCCCGAACGCCAGAGTCTCGCACCGCTACCACGCTTTAAACCTGCTGTGTCCTCCCTTAGGGAGAATTCCTGTTCATGTACGACACGCCCATGCTGGAGTACCTCATCAAGAAGGACCCGAACTGTGAGCTGATGCTGGTGGGGAAGCCGTTCCGCCAGCTCGGCTACGGCATCGCCACGCAAAGCAGCAACAGGTTGTCTCACGAGATCTCGCTTGGGTGAGTCAGGAGCACCGATATATTGCGTCGCTTAAGCTTATCTGGCCGACCAGAGAACTAGATATATGCATTGATAGAGGGGAACAGAAATCAAATCATACAACGTATTCTTGAGCGCTTGCTTCTCCTGTAGTTTATCCCAAGCTTCAACTGTGGTGAAATTAAGTGTCACATTTAAAGCGTTGCAATAGGACATGTTGGTGACTAGCAGCCTCATTGTTAGTTACAAGAACGTACATGTAATACAACTAGCTGTTGAGGACATAAAGATGATGATTTTTTCCCCTGTATCACCGTTACCGTCTCTCTTCTTCCACAAGAATCCTGCACCTGAAAGAGAACGGTAAAATCACGGAGTTGCGGGACCGCTGGTGGCCGAAGCAGGGATGCTCCATGGACGGCTCGGAGTCGGAGGCGGCCGCGGAGGGCCTGGCCCTGGACAGCTTTGTGGGTGTGTACATCGTGGTGGCGGTGGGTGGCGCCCTGGCCATGGTGGCGGCACTGGCCGAGGTGTCCTGGCACAGCTACTGTAACAACAGGCCTAGCGTAACCACGCAAGTAAGTGCGTTAGCCTGCAGATATTGCTCAGTCAATTTCTCATCAGTTGATACTTTTAAACTCTGCCTTACCATACTCATGTGCATCACTGTACATCAGTGGTATGATCTATACAAAATTATAACAAAACGTGAAGATGAGAGTGAGGTAAACTCTAAATTCAATGTACAAAAGGCGTCCTGATTATGGCAGTAATTGTCATGCCAATATAGCGCTGATGGATCACTGTTGTGTTTTGCAGCAGGAGGACACAAACACTCAGGTCTCTGAGCAGAGAAAGCTGACAGAGGAGGTATTACGGGGCATAGACAACGGAACTCTACAGATCCTCATCAGAAAAACGCCCCCTGTAATCGACACGTGCCCAGCTCACAACGGAGGGCCGCCAGACATAAAGTCTGACGGCAAATTCGTCTAATTCGTGAGAACACAGAAGAACGGGACTCTATAATGAGCAGTGCTATCAACTTCAAAGGCTGAGCAGATCCAAGGCTGAATGAATTCAATTGTTTTTTACCCGATGGTGTTTTGCGTCTGAGCGAAGCAAATGGTACCCGGTGTCAACTATCTATTCAGAAAACTACGTTGTGTGTGAACCGACATGATCGACCCTGATGTGCAAGATCGTCTGCCTGTCGATACGTACACGGACCAAAGCGATCACAGAACGACTGCTTCAGCTCTCTCCGTGTCTCAGAAGTGGTGAAGAAGAATCTGCTACAGTATTCAGACGTTGGTCTCTAAGAGAGTTCGTAAAGCAGGTGGTGACGTAAGCTGCACGTAACTTGGAAATACCTTCTTAATATACAGGCTTACTTTTTTGCATTGTGCAGTTCTGCCTTTGGAGATGAGGAGACCAGGACGAATGACTACCAGACACAATGTCAGTGGATGAAGGCCTTAAAAATGTCGGTGGATATGAACAGTTCAGACGGACATGGCAGTCTCTAACATTAAGATGCAGAGGGATTCAATGTAGATGACAGCTAATATAATTACTGGTCAAGCTTGCTGCTGAACTTCCATGTAATCCCGAAATGACAGGTGACCAAAAGTACTCTAACTTGTACGTGGCTCTTCTAGCGTAGACAAAAATGCAACCCTTCCTTCCTAAAGGCAATTCCCAAAGTGTATAATGAAATATGCTACATATCATAATGTAGAACACGTTACCACATGATCTGAAAAATGCTAAGTCCTGTATATGTTTGTCAAAGACATGCGATGAGGCAGTGATCACGTCCTGTTGAAGTGGTTTGTTCAGCTACTGGTGAACCTCTGCTGGTTTTGTCTTAGACTTGAACCAAGGCAGCAGATACAACAATGTATTTGAAAAAACAAAACAAGCCAGCTTTTTGCAATTTCAAAAGCATGAAGGGCATGAGCTACCAAAATTACTCCATTGGTACCAGCTGATTTCTTACACACTCAGTAATATTGAATTGAATACAAACACTCAACATAATTAAGACAAGCTCGACATGCTACCGGCGGGATTAACCTGGAAACTACACAGCTTACAAGTCAACATCCTATATGTGCTGCAAGCTGGAAAATTCAGGCATCAGGGAAAGGAAAATGTCTGAGAAATGAAAATGCATTAAATGTTTGCGTGTTTCCGTTCGCCCAGGGACAGAGTACCCATTGGTACAGATGCTGATGTTCACTACGCCACTCACTTCCAAATCCTTTCTTTCTGACAATGTTTGCTTTTATGTTATCACTGGTGTGTCATATTAGTTTTCCTTAAGGATAACAGTGGGCAGAAGATGGCAATGACAAAAACAATAGTTATCAATGATATTCTTTGTAAGGTATTGCTTTGGTGGATAAACGTTTATTGGTGATTTTGCTTCCAATGTTAACTAGTGTAAACTACATTGTATATTGCAGGCATACAATGGGGGTACACACATGGACATGGGTTTCCTGCCAAGGAAAAAATGGTGGGACTAAATAATATCAAATATTAATATATAAATCAGATGTATAATGAAGCTCCTTTGGCCACGTGAGGCATTGGTGAGTTCTGCCGCATTCTGTCAAAATGCCATCAATAAAGTAGAATTTCTATGTGGGCTGTTTATTACTTCTGGGTACGGAGGTATTTGTTTGGTGTGGCAGAGTTGTGGATTTGTGTGTGTGTGTGAGTGTGTGTGAGTGTGTGTGTGTGTGTGTGTGTGTGTGTGTGTGTGTGTGTGTGTGTGCGTGCGTGTGTAGCGACAGTTGCACGGAGAGTGGAAGGTGATTTTGACAGGGTGAAAGATTAATTAAATCAGCATGTTGGCAGGACATACTGCACCTGCGCAAAATGCGTAATGTATTGTGCATAGCACTTCAGAAGAACGTCTCATATAAGGTATTTATGCATATAAGGTTAACACTCCTGTAGTTGTCTAATGTTACGTTGGAAAAAATATCGTCTGCAACAGGCAAAATTCCAAAGCAATGAAAACACGCAAAAAAATTGGGGTTTCGCGCATGCACATGCAGTATGTTCTGCCGACGTGCAAACTGAAACGATCTGGAAGACTAACAGAGGGGGGGATGATTTTGTCAGGCAGGATTATTAACTGAAACATACTGGAAGATTAACAGGGTGGGGAATGGTTTTGACAGAGTGGAAGATTAACTGAACTGGAAGATTCACAGGCAGCATAACAGGAAGTTTAAGTCTGGCAGAGAGCCAGCAGATATGGGAGAATTCAGGGACTGCATCTTCCTGCACTTAAGACGTTTGAATTCCTGTCATTCAGTCTGAAATCTACCATTTCTTCTTCTGTTCGTACAAACCTAGCTACTATAGTATAAAAGACAAACTGCAACTTTAACATTAGTAACATACTTTATTTTTTTAGCAAAAAAAAACAAAAAACATAAAAGGAACAGATATATAGAACATAAAGAACCAACATGGGTAGGAAATATTATGTGGAGGGCACTACTGCATCTTCTCCATATAAAACTGGTATGAATGAAATAAATAGTAATAGATTGGTAAGTTTAGTGGTTAGCTTAGTGTATGCATGCAAGCTACAGCAACAAACACCCCCTGCCTATTTGGCTTGGCACTACAGGCTCTACATGTAGGTGATGCTAACATATTTTACATGGACTCAAATCAGCCTTAAGAAATCAATGTGTGCTGGTAAATGTTGTGTTTTATCTTTGCTTTTATTGCCTCTTGCACAAACATGGATGGTTTTCTTCCATGCGACTTTTCTTGCGACTGAATATTGCAACATTTGTTCACTTTAACAACATTAAAACAAATAACCATCCATCACACTACAAATGTCATTTACAAACTACCTTATCAAAAACAATGGCCTTCTCCAAGAGCCTTGTGACAGACATAAACCATCTTAATGCTGGAATGTTAGAAGATCTGACACATCATCAGTGTTCACAGCATGGTACATGAGTAAACTGTACCAACCCAACAGTCACTTCCATCTACTAGTAGCTTCTGCATGAATGGCTGTTTTCAATGTTGTAATGTTGTTAGATACCGGAATGTGCAAAGTAGAACCTTGACCGGATCAGACATGGTGTGACGGGACCTTACGCCTCCGTCCATGACTCTGTGAGGCTGGTGTCTGCTCAGTCTGAGAATGGCCATTTGCACCTGGGAAAGGGAGGTAAATATCTATGAAAGGAAAATACATGAAAACAATTAACGACAGTGCTTCGTTTAGGTAATTAAGTAAATCTTCATTTTCACTGCAACTACAAAACAGCCTACAAGTTTACATTACTGTTCATACCCAGAGATAGCCTACATGAGTGGTGAAGGTTAGACATCCAGGTAATATGATACACCAAAAAACAGTTAAGCAACTAGATATGATTTTGGAAAAGGTCAGATGTTTCAGGTAGCATCCACTACCTTTTGTCAGTGACACTGGAGAGTAGACAGAATTGAATTGAAATGTGTCAAATGACTTTTAAAACTAGGAAAAAAACTGAACTTAAGAAATAGAAACATTCCTATGTTAATTCTGTTGTACCTTGAATGACCATATGGTCCCAGTCAGCCTTACAGCGGGGGCAGCTGGGCTGGTCCTTGTCTCGGAAGTACCGGTTCGCACAGAAGTAGTGCATTTTGGCCTCACAGCTGTCGGACTGGCAGAGTTGGCCCTGGCAAGCGCAATGGAAAGTGGTGATGATGTTTTTGACAAGCAAGATAGGGACTGAGTAGAGTTGCAAAGTTTATATACTCATACAAACCAACTGTCATTCAAACATATATACATACACATACTGTAATGTGGTAACACCAGCAAACAACGATTATGCTACTCTGCTCTAGTACTTTTGTGGACAACATAAACTTTCTAATATAATACGTGTAATAGAAAAACTTGGAAAAACTGATCTTGTGCCCTTGGGAAAGGCACTTAACACGACTTTCCTGGATGGAGGCCTGGCGAACCCTGTCACGTATTAGCCACAAAAAAGCCAGCAGAATCTTCCATTAGTTGAAGGCAGCTGCCTCAAAATGAAAGAAAAGAAGACAAATCATGACGACATCAGCAACCCACCTTGAGAGCTATCTGGTCACACAGACAACACTGCCTGATGTCGTCCTTGTAGTGCTCCATCAGGTAAGGCTTTAGCTCCAGGATGCCACGCACACTCAGGGAGATCTCGCCCTGGTGCTGAACATGGTGAAAAAAATCTTATTTTTCTGACACGTGTCGCATTTAACTTTTAATCATATGAAACATGACCACAGACCAAGCTTCATGCCATGCAGGGGTCTCCCCAGAAATGTAGAATGTGGTGAGGAAGGGTGCGAAGCACCTGATGCTGCATGCACATGACAAAACAGCGACAGTTGGAGTTGTTTACATGAAAATTGTGGTGTGAAATGCCAGCAGGGCGTCTGATTTTCTACCAATGACAATGTTTTCAATTCGCAAGATTGTGCAGACAATAGAATGAATAGCGGCCCAATCCACGCGATAGATCCACACTCACTGCTCAGCCGAAGAAAAGGGGAATGACGAGCAAATTTATCAGGGAAATATGTGGGATAAAATCCCTAATTTTGAAAAGCAACAGGGTGGTGCTGAGATAAGGACATTGTGTATGGAGATCCTTGCCATGGCACTTACTACATGTGGTACATTTTGTACATGTACATGCACGTGGAACTGACCTCGTTGAGCCACCTGTCTCGTACCATCCTCCTTATGACATCCTCCGCCTCCTTCTTCCTCATCTTCCTGTTCTGCTCCTCGTGCAGCAGGTCTGTCAGGTTCAGGACGTCCGTGGAAGACGCCACGCCCGTGTCAGAGTCCACGATCAGATCCAGAACCTTCTTAAAGAACTCCAGCTCTGTCTCCGTGTAGTCTGAGGCCAGATGGGTGATGTCACTCTCCATCATGTTCACCTGGCAGGGACACAATCTTTTTTCACTCCACTGTCACCACATAAAACATGACCTGAAGACTAATCTCCAAGCAGATCCTAGGGTGCCAAAAAGACAGTATTGAATTGGCCAGGCAGTATCCATTGGTCAGAGAGGGTCCAATTCGACACAAAAAATGGGCCATATATAAAAAGGTAACAATTTTTTCCCCCATCAACCTCTGCTTGGACAGTAATACAGACCACTTCAAGAATAGTAATGGTAGCATCATTTAATTATAACTCTGGGTTGAATACTAGTACCCATATCATTAGGCCAGAGGATGCAACTTGATGGTCTCATTTACAGTGATACAATGAAACATGCGATGGACCTGGTACTTTATCATTCATGGCATTCAAATGTTGGCTATATTTTGAGACTTACGACACCACTTTTCAGCAGAACTTACCAGTGCATAATACTGCACCCCATCCTCTTCTGACACCCCCTTCTGTATCATCATGGAGAAGGGTCCTACATGGTGGTTGATTTCGTTGACAAACTTTCCCAAATTCTCATGTTCCACTGGTCCTACAAAAGAACAATAATGGTATAACAGTATGATCAACTATGGGCAAGCCTTGTCATTTAAGTTTCAAATGGAAACTGGAAGAAACAAACAGTAGAAATAGTCAGGTATTGTAATATAGTATGTTTTGCTTCATGTTAACCACTGAGTGCTATCTTAGATTTCTAATAAAAAATTGTACCTTTAATAGATAAAATGAAAGACAGATGAGAGTAGGATGACAGACCAGATGGAATTTGAAGAAAGACAGAAAGTTAGAGGTAGAGAGGCGAGCATGTAAGAAATATAGATTCTATCGAGGCCACGACAATGCTGGTGTAGGTCTCCATCTCTTGCCACCATCTTATGTGCCTGCTTGTTCTCTACAGTATCACTAGTTATGATTCAACTCACTGTTGAAGGTCTCACAACACTTCTTGTACAGGGCCTTGACCTCGCGTGCCTTCAGTGCCCCATGGGTCATGATGGACTGGAGGAACATGCGGTGGGCGTCGGTCATAGCAGTTGCCATGGTAACAGCTGAATGGGACTGAGGGAAAAATACACAATTTATAATTTTGATAAGGTCAGAAATTTGGCTACAGTGACATATATAAAGTTATAACGTTATGACTAAAATTCATTCTCATATTAAATTAAATTCTACTGGATCTGACACAATCAAATTCATTGACCAGTTCACAAAACAGGAAAGCAGAAAAAAAAATCTTATTGACACCCTGTATATGTATTGACAGTAGCCTGTCAGTAGCCTCTGTCTAATTACAAACAGCTGTTTATGGATTGGGAGGGGGGCAAGTCTGCAGTTTCCAACCAGATCATAATCCAGGCTATCTAACGTTACGTTTACTACAAAGGTCTATCTGATAAATGATCTGGTGGGTCTTCACTGCTTTACGTCTATCCTTATCAAAGGAGCAAGAATCTTCTGCAGATGAACGTCTGCTTCGTACCTTCTTCCAAGGAAAGCCTCTTTTCTCGCGATCGCTGTGCCCGGCTGCTTCCGCGTTTTTCGCGCCAGATCACTGTTATCATGATAATGGCCGAGTTCATTTCTGTGGAAGGGCGTGTTTTTCTTTGATAAAAATCAATTCACTTAATACCGGCAAAATACAGGCAAAGTTATAGATATTGCTGTCCATACTGATAGTATTAAGTCTAAAAATGTTGTTGATTGAGCCATTATGTTCTTTGAACAAACTATTTTATTCTGTACAACTGAATCGCCGGTGCCACAGTGGTTTGTTCCATATTTAAGATGGCTGCGCCCGGCGAAAAAAGTAGCGGAGGCAGGCGAAAGGGGAAGAAATCGAAGTCTGTAAGCATGAAGGTTCGTAGTTGTCGCTGCAAAGGTTTTCTTTGTCTTAGAAGAACTTTACCCGTAACTATTGGTAACATTCCGTTGTCAGGAGGGCTAACCATGAGCTGGCTAATCTTAGATACACGCACCCAAAGGGGGAGGGGGGCAAATTCCACATGTGTGCGCGTGGTCGTAGATTTTATTTTGTCCGTAGAAGCAAATGTGCAGAAGGCCGACAGTGTTTTGTACCTCAGTCATAAAATTTCACTGTCTAGGTACGCTGTCAACCACAAAACAGATTCTAGATTTAAAAGGCCATTACAATTTACATATAACAAAAAAAAACAACATTTTTGCACCACAAATTGAATATTTTAATTATAATTTACTTCCATTTTTAAACATATTTATGTAATCATTTTACATGGCTGACATTTATTGTTGACATTAAAAATGCTCACACAAGGTGCACTCAGTTTGTGGCACCACCTCAAAATACCATGATGTAAACAAACATTGCTGATATCTGTGTTTCCAGCTTTTAAATGCACTCGAAATTTGTCAGAGTGCTGGGCCGTTTCAGAACAAGATATCTGAAACCATTAAGGCATCGTTGTTGTGTATTTTGTAGGATTTGTTCAGCAATGTGCAAGCAGACTATCCAGTTCCTCGTAGGACCAAAGGAACAGCCATCCTGGAGCATGGCTCATGGAAGCCTGTCAAGGTTGACCAGTCACTTTTCTCATCGGAGGACTTCTCTGGGTTTGTGGGCCTGGAAGAACTGACAGAATATGAGCTCTGCAGCGAGGGAAAACAAAAACAGCAAAAAAGTACAAAGAAACAAAAGAAGAAAACTCAAAAGCAGGCCAAAGACCATGATGATGCAAACATAGAGGAAGATGAAACCATATTCAAAATGGAGACAAAAGTTCAGGGTACAGAAGAAGAGAGTACCAAATCCAAGACGCAAAATACAATGAAGAAACTGAAAAGGAAAGCTCAAGGAGAAGAGGAGGGACAAGTGATGAAGATAAACAGGAACCAATTGAAGGATGGGCCAAATGACGATAATGACATCAATGAAGAGGTCACCGAACCTTTAAAGAAGAAGCAAAGGGCTGAAGTCTCTGAGCTGTCTTCACAGGAGAAGGATGAAAGTAAAAGTGAGAGTGTTGATCAAACTGGAACGGATGCTGATGCTGCCTCAGAAGGTGTGACAAAGAAATCAGGAAAGTCACGGAAGGAAAGGAGAAATGAAAGAAGGAAACAGAGACTGGTGATGCTCAAAAGAAAGAGAGAGGAACAGAGGGAAAGGAAGAAGCAAGAAAGGAAGACAGCACCACTTGCAAAAGAAAACAGTTGTAAGCTTCAGTCAGTAGCCAAGAAAAGCATAACTGCAGGTAAGTGTACGACTGCAAACCAGCATGTTTGTTTTGTGAAATGTTGTATACACATGCTCTTAAGTTTTTTTGCATGGAGAAATTGGGAATTGTTCAAATTTAATATTTCAACAAAGTGGGATCAGCCAGGGTGTGTGATATACCAATTTTTGCCTCATACATTTTGTGATTTTTTCTATGCCTAATAATATTTTAAAGGTTTAAGAATTTTGTTCTTCTTACTGTTTGTGTGTAGACATGTCCTCCTGGACCCCACTGTATGTCCCTGATGTGGTGTTGAGAGGCTTGGCAGATCAGGGCTTCACACAGCCGACACCCATCCAGGTCCAGACCATCCCACAGGCCATACAGGCTCACAAGGACGTGGTGGGAGCTGCAGAAACAGTGAGTATTATCCTACCCAGGTAAACAGCTGTTGGCAAGGCCTAAACTATCAGCACATGGTAGTCAAGGCCATTGTCTTCACATACTTAGAAGACTAAGGCTAGTGTTATGAAAGTTTATATGGTGATATGTATTAGCATGTTATTTATGAAATAGTTATATGTATGACTTACATTGTTTTCTGTTGTCCTGCTTTAGGGAAGTGGCAAAACCCTGGCTTTTGGGATCCCCATCTTACACAGGATCCTGGAATGGAAGGAGAGAAACTGTCAAGCAGAGGATGGGCAAGTACCAGAGAACACATCTGATGATGATGATGACCAGGAGATGGAGGGAGTTGAGGAAGAAGATCACAATGTTGAGGAGGAAGAGGAAGAAGAGCTAGTCTTAGATGTGAGTTAACTTTCCTTTTATTTTCAGTAACAAATTAGGTACCAACACTGCACCTGTCAGGGTTAGATACTGCTTTTCATTTACTATGTCCAAAATGCTCAATGTTCAATGAAAAACTTTTCATGTTGTAAGTTTGTGACTTAGTAACAAAATAAATGATGAACTAACAAGACAGGTGTTCCCACTCTTTTCTCCTACAGAGTGCAGGTTTGGGGTGTGTCCACGTGGAAGATGACATCACACTGCCACCAGAGTTAGAGGCCCTGCAACAGACTCCCCCCCAGTCAGTCCCCACCCCCCTGAAGGTCGTCTCCCCCCTGTTGGCCCTAGTACTCACCCCCACCAGGGAACTGGCCGTGCAGGTGGCCAATCACATCAAGGCTGCCGCCAAGTACACCAACGTCAAGGTAAATAAGGTTCATGGCATTGTACCTATAATGGATTGAATATTGACAGAAATTATTGAATTGTAGGTTTATATTTGACCTTAAACTTTCTATTCCACACAGGAGTTTTATATACTGTACCTTCATCAAATTGTGGTGCTTTATTATAGATTACAGGTCTGTTACACATATGAATGAGTTACACTTTCAAATTCTCTCTCCTGACTCTACCCGTGACTTTACATGTTAATATCAATAATGTGTGGTTTTATAACAGGTGGCTGTACTAGTTGGAGGCATGGCACCGCAGAAGCAGAAGAGAGTGTTGGACAGACAGCCTGAGATCATTGTAGCAACCCCAGGTAGACTTTGGGAGATGGTGGAACAGGTAGGATGCAAGATGGACTTTTCTCTGCTCAATTTTGACAGAATCCAAGGTCTGTGAATATGTTGGTTGAAAATTTTGTGTTGGAAGGAAAATTGAAACCTTTCTCCTGAATTTTTACACTCTGTCACACCTCCAGCCCAATTTACTGACTTAATGGTTTTGACATTGGAACGTTATCACGACTTTGATTTAAGGATATGATTTTGTTTGACGCATCAGATTTTATTTGACTGTTGTCCACCTTTTGATGTCTGACTAAATGTAATCATGTCCTGTCCTGTACGCTGGGCTCCATTGGAAAGCAGCTTCATAGCTGAATGGGCTACCCAGCCGTTTTAAAATGAACTAAATAAATAGACGTGTTTCAGGGCCATCCTCACCTGAGTGACGTGAACCAGCTCCAGTGTCTGGTGATTGATGAGGCAGACAGGATGGTGGAGAAGGGGCACTTTGCTGAGCTGGGAAACCTGCTGGACAAGATTAATGGGTGGGAACATAAACTCTTCCTAAGTGTTCTTGGTTTGGTTTTTCTTCAATGCCCACAATCATGATAACAATTTTTCTGGCATACTCATTTTCACCTGAGCAAATTGAGGAAAGTCGTATTAAGTGCCTTTCCCAAGGGTACAAAGTTGGAGTGACTTGGCAGTATTTGAACCTCTTGGTTCTGAGCCAAATGCTTTTACGCCACACGACCCCACCATTATTCTTCAACAATAACTGCTGAGTATTGTTTGTAGAATGGTAATCACTGCATTATTGTAAACGAGGGAAAATTCTGCTCCTTTGTCATGGAAAGATACCATGGCAGAACTTGTAACATCTTCCCCTATGTTTCGTGCAGGGAAGGTCGGAACCGCAGAAGGCAGACTTTCGTGTTCTCTGCCACACTGACCATGGTGCATTCTGGGCCACAGAGGAAGATAATGAAGAGAAAATTCAAGATGGACAAAGACAAGAAGCTTGGTAAGGATGACTGGGACTAGGTGTTTTTTTTAGACTAGTATCTGTTCAAGACTGGAATAGGGTCTTAAAAAAGTTGGTAGACTGATGCATGTTGAAAACAAGTGTTTCCTTCTTAGTAGGAGTAAAAGGAATCTAGTTCTCTTTAACAGTCAGGACTGTGTATGTATGTATATGATAATATGTATATACATGTACTTCAAATGTAGTGAATTTAATCCTTCATTGACAGAGGTGCTTGGATACTCAAAATGGATGTGGTATATTCAGATCAAGTATAGGAAGGTTGAAGACGTGATTAGAAAAAGTGCTGCCTATTCAAACACTACATGATGCCTGTACTGTTGCAGGTCAGCTGATGGACAGAGTAGGCATCAGAAGTAAACCTTTAGTGGTGGATCTGAGCAGGCAGCAGGGGACTGTGGACACACTGACTGAAGCCAGGATAACCTGTGCTACAGAGGAGAAGGTACAGCAAGCTTTTCAGCAAACTTTTTTACTATCACCTGTTCACTGTCATGCAGACATGGTTCTCAGACCTTTGTTTTCACATTTTTTTCTGAATTTTTACTATAAAATGTCTGAACCAAGAAAATCATCAGGTTTGGCGTAGTATTATTAGATTACAGGTTAGATTCCAAGATTCAAGATGTCTTTATTGAACTTTCACAGTGGACAACTTTTTGCAGTCACTGAATTACAGTCAATTTACAGTTTTTCACACTGACATATAATATTGCACATAATTTTGATTTGTTCAGTTGACAAAACTTGAAATAATTACAAAGTACATGTACTGCTCGTAATACTACAATTGTTTAGTTACAACATTTAAAAACTGTTGATGTTGATGTAAGTCTTCACTTTGTTTTTCCAGGACATCTATCTGTACTACTTCCTGCTGCAGTACCCTGGTAGGACGCTAGTCTTTGCCAACAGCATTGACTGTATCCGCAGGTTGACGTCTCTCCTGGGCCTACTGCAGAAGAGCCCCCTACCTCTCCATGCTAACATGCACCAGAAACAGAGGCTGAAAAATCTGGAGAGGTAAGCGTTTTTGTTTTTTTGGTGAACAAGGTGCTTGGCAAATTGATTAAGACTGGAGTTGGTGTGTTACGCCGAAAGGTGGTTATACCAGCTATATAGGTACAGATACAGAAGACAAGAATATCAAGTTCTGTATAATTGAGCTATCTAAGCTCTTCCAGAGAAAATAAAGGGTGAAATAACAGGTGCTTCTTGAAATGTCATAATTAGTGTTACCATTCTGAAGTTGCCACGATCTTGAGTCTACTGCAGTAAAGATGACAATCGTCCAGTAAAGTAGAACTGAGTTTGAAAATGCAGTAATCCTGTTGCATTTTGTAATGTACTTATAGGCACCCACTGTACCAAAGATTGACAGAGCTGCTTGATGTTACAGGTTCTCGGCCAATGAGAATGGTCTGCTTCTGGCGACAGACGTGGCAGCTCGAGGGTTGGACATCCCTGACGTGCAGCACGTCATTCACTACCAGGTTCCCCGCACCTCAGAGGTAGTCTCGCACATATCCTAAACTCGTACTGATTCCTCTAAAACACACTTGTCTCTTACATTGTACATGTAGCAGCTAGTCGCAGGGCCAGAGTTGGGCAAAATGTAAATCAGCTACCACATTGTAACATAGTTTTACCAAAAGAAACAATCCCCTTTAACGCACTTTTGAGTTAAAAATCATTTGTCATTGACTGTTTTGTAAAGTTGCAATTGGAACACTGACTAACAGAAATCAGTTGTGGGGTGATCTGTCTTGATATGCTGAAAGTATAGGAATCTTAAAGCGTCAAGAGACAAGAGTATTTGTTTCTCCCTCCTGTACAGACTTATGTACACCGCAGCGGGCGCACTGCTCGTGCCCAGAAAGAAGGGCTGACGCTGCTCCTGACTGGTCCAGAGGATGCCCAGTACTACAGGAGGATCTGTAAGACTCTGGGCAAAGGTCAGGCTGTCTCTGAAAACTTGTACCTTTTGTAGTGAAGTCTGCTTTAGGGAATTTGTCAGCTGTTTTGGCAATTGATTGGTAAGATTGGTGACAATTTTGATCAAATGAGGACAAGTTGAGTATCGATCAAAGTACTCCAAGCAATCCAAGTTGTAAGAGAGAACTGCTTTTAGTGACAATTTATTAGGGTGTGCCATTATGGTCTTTTGTAACTCTCACAGATGAAGAATTATAGCCTTTAGGCCTTTATTGAGAAGATATAACTACATGTATGTTATATGAGTCTGCCCAAGCTGATGACTGTTTCCTGTTGTGTTCCAGATGAGGACTTGCCTGTGTTCCCCACAGAGCCCCTGTACCTGGCCGCCGTGAAGGCCAGGGTTGCCGCCGCTCGCAGGATCGACGTGGGAGAACATCGCTACATGAAGAAGAAACATCACAATGATTGGTTCTTACAGCAGGTTGGGTTCTCAAGTGACCTTTAATATAGCAAGTTTCTGACCTGCACATAGAAGTCACTTGAGTGCAGTTTTACTGTCAAGATGATGATTGATCAGGTTAGTAAATTTTTACTAGCATTGACTTCCCTCTTTATTGTTCCAGGCCAAGGAGATGGACATAGAACTGGATGAAGATGAGGTACTACATGACCTTGGAGACACACAGGAGCAGGATAAGGTCCTTAGTGAGCTCAAGGACATGAAAAGTAAGCACTTAGATCTAAACTTTGATTTAGAATACAATACTTCTATTGATGTCCATATATCAAGCCAGGAAGATGTTAGGTGGTGCTAGCTTCCCATTACTGAGTGAAGGAATAATTATTTCCATTGCTGAGTGAAGGAATTATTCTGTTGTACATGATACAATGTAACAATGCAGAAGTTATGTCACCAAAGAATGGTTTTAGTAATATTGATCTTGTTCCCAACATAATTTGTTTGTTTTTCTCCTACACAACAGAGAGCCTGAGTAAGATGCTGAAGGCCCCAATCTTCCCTAAAGGCTTCTCAGGGCTGTACCCCATCCAGTATGGTCAGCCCAACCTGCCCAGGCTTCCCAGTACGTATCTCAACTTGTATATGTGTAGGTTAGCTTGTATTGTCTATTTTTATACTGTTTCAAAGTACATTTGCTAAACATGTTTATTTCTCACCCAGATGCTGTAGCAGCCACTCTTGCAGTGAACAACAGCCGCAAGAAGAAACCAAAGATTTAAGACAGTGTGACCTGAACTTTGTTCTTCCAGCTGAACATTTTGTTACCCACCCTTAATGAAACTTTATCATAGTATGGTCAGACAGCTTGGAGATCACACAACAGATGTTGGGCTTATTAAATCTCATCAGAAACATTTTGTATCCAACAATTCTATGTTCGGTAACAGAATACCAAACAGCTTGATTTAAAATAAACTGTTGTAGCTATTCCTTTCTTCAAGAATTTGTGTATTCATGGTAAAATTCTTACTGATACAATATGTACAATGTATTTGTTTTCATCGACTGCTAGGACATTTTATTGATGCTGAAAAATCCCCCCTAAATTAAAACTAGTACCACAATAGATACCAAGACTGCTTCATAAAAAAAAAGAGTCAGATTTGAGTGGATCACAGAATTTATTGACTACATTCTGACATAAGTGCAAACCCAATATTTTAAGTACAAGATTCTCTTTATTTGATAATAACCCAGCTGACAGTCATCTGACTGAGTAGACTTTCAAATTTACAATGGTTTGCAATCAGCATTCAAACTGATAATGCTGCACACTTATGATATGATACATCAGTTGACTGTTAGCTTGGTTATTCTTCCACACTACATTACAGTATACACTATGGCCGTCACATATTTGTCAGACATAAAATCTGTACACTGTGGAGAAACTGATTATCAGATCCGTCACGAGCATACATAACTTTACACAATAATAATATAGGTCTAACATATTCATAACAATCAAGACTCCATCATAATATTGTGTGGTTTCATATAAGGACGTACAAAAGGTTTTGTTAGTGATTTTCACCAGTTTCTATGTATAGAACTTAAACCATTGATTAGAGAAGTGTGATATCTGCTGGACTATTATTTAAAAGAACGTTAACACTTAAAAGAACATTTAACCTCCTCCCTGCTGCCTAACCCAGTAAACAATGGTTACCTAAGCAGTGAGAAGGCAGACTGTTAGACTTAGAGACTATATGTAGGTCTGCCATCTATAGATGGGCCTGAAAGTTGCAAGCCCAGAAGATATGCTTCATAAAATTTAATATTCAACTTTGTGAAGCTTCCAAAAATCAACCCTGCATGCTCTATACAGATTTCATGTCCACTTACTTGTGTTTACCTGTGTCCACCCTACCTACTAGTATATGTACCTACAGAACACTACAGATATAAGAAAAGCGAATTGCCACTGTAGCACCTGGTGCAGTCCTGTTCTGAGTTGTGTGAAAAATTCCATTTTCCACACTGATTATCTAATAGATAACTTCACCTGAGTTGACTCACTCACACAAATGTTTCATACCAATCATAGGTTCACTCCAAGAATTCACTCATACAGTTTCTCAAACGGGCATCCAAACGTCAAAATTTTCACATCTTTGTACAAAAATAGTTACTTTTGGAAATTTCAGAATTCTTTTCTTTACCCTCAGAACAAGTCTGCATGTGTATTGTACATATTTTACAGTCAAGCAATGCAATATCCCACTAACACAATTACTGTTACTTTCCTATCATTTACAGCTAACTGGCCAAAATTTGACCGTAACAGCTTTAGTGGGATCAAACAATTGTCTCAAGTCATGTTTACTTACAGATCAGGTAAATATCAAAAGTTTTCAGACTGTATGACAGTAATAGAAGAGTCAATTGTTGAGAGGGGTGCTACACACTGAATACAAGCACAGAAAGAAAGCACTGCCACCTATTCAAACATACCAGGGACACCTGATGGTTTTAAACAAACAAATCTGCATGTTTCTATGCCAATAAATCAGTCCCTATTTGCCAGTGACAAGTCTTTTTCTTTAATAACATTTTGGATACGAGGCATCCCTCCACTGGGATGTTTGATAGGTAACCACTGACAGCAGAATGCAACCATTCTGTACACCTATCAACGTCAACACTGCCAGAGGGTGCACACAGAGAAACCTAACTTGTCACTGCATCACTCATATATTCCACTTTATGTTTACTCTGTGGTCCCTGGCCACCCTGTCAGATTTTACGTTGACCAGTGTACATGTACAGCTGATGAAGTATATAATATAATACATGATAATAAAACTAGTCAGTGGTGATTCGGTGTATTACAAAGCCAGCTAGACTTACTGATACATCTAGTTTTAAGTGCCAACTGCATTTTAGACAATGTCAGAAAGGCATCCGTGGTTTGTTAGAGTACTACTACTAGTACATGTATAAGGTACTTTTAGAGTTATGGTGGTGTGAGTGAGTGCTTAAACATTCAACATTAGACATTGTGTATGACTTAGCACACATATAATATGTTAGAAGTGACAACAAACCACCGATGCACAGTCATGTTTGGAAGTGACTCCAGTATAGCATTCAGGTAAATATCCAAAGTTAGAAAACAGTTTTTGGTATGCCAATCATTTGTTTTGTATTGTTCATCCATCCAATTCATGGCACTTCTGGCATCATCAAATGTACAATGAACCAAATTGAAGCAGCAAAATTGCACTGGGATATCCAAAGTGTCCCTCTTGTAATTTGGCAGAGAGAGCAGCAATTTCTTTGTTAACATATACAGTATACTTTTGCTTTCACTAAGGTTTGGTAGAGTAAAATTTTTGCTGCTCCTGCAACAGTAAGTTCATTTTTATTAAAGCAAATCTTACTAAATCTACCTATTGAAGAGTTAAGCTTTATCAGAACTGAATGAGTTCCGTATAGATGTAACTGTGAAGATAGAAGTTCATCAGACACTACTGTTAAAGGATCGCTAAGGCTTCTTTCTGCGTTGGGCTCTCTTGATGATGCGTCTGCCGCCAGGGGAGGCACTGGGAGTACCGGTACTCTGGATACTGAAAGGATTGCCGCCTGGCTGTGCCCCGGCACTGTGGGAAAAGCAAAATCATTTTTGTCAGCCAGGAAAATGTTTCGAACATCATGAAAGCTCATCAGTGTTCAATGTTTCTCAAACAGAAGCCTTACACCCATAGTTTCTATAGAATGCTAGGTCAAAGTGACTTGAGGTACATGCTTAAGGTTGTGATGTGATAGCTTAATACCTAATATATCACATGCTGGAGTTCCTCAGAGTTCTTTCTGTCACTCAAATCCAGGTCATAATGACAGGAAGGAGATAACTGGGAAAATCTGTTCAGAACTAGAGAATATCTGCTCCATCTGACATAGCCATTTTGTTTCCGACTACTACAAAGCACTCTGCATTGAGGGAAGAGAAAAAGCACTATTTGCTGAGGACCACCAGGCTTGCACTTACCTGAAGTTGAAAGGACCTGGAGCAGCTGGCTGTGGAGCTGGTGCTCCCGCCCCTGCGGTGAAGTTGAACCCGCCGCCTGGCGCGCCTCCTGCAGGGGCTGCAGCACCGAAGTTAAACACTGCAGGGGCCTGCTGCTGCGAGCCTGCGCCAAACTGGAACGACGGCTGGCTGGGCGCACTGAAGTTAAAACCTGCAACATGTGTGATATGATACGATTTGAGTTAAGTTGAATTTAGTTGTTAGTCATTTGTCAGTACCAAGGCAACCCTACAGAGCACGTCGGCAGCTCAAAACCCCATTTCATGTTGGATTTTTGGTCACCGTTGCATTAAAATTTTGCTTGTTGCAGAGGATATCTTTTATGACATAACATTTGGAAACTACAGACAGGATGTTAACTTATACACGCCAATAAGACATGAGATGTTATGAGACGTTCTGCCGAAGTGCTATGGGTTTTGCACAGGTGCAGTACGTTCTGCTACCCTACAGTGACATACATATACATGTACATAAACTGATAAAGAGTCTTGTGGGAAGACAGGACAATCAGTAGATAAGACTGACATGGACTCACCAGCAGTTGGGGCTGGCTGTGCAGCCGTCGCACCAAACACTGGGCCACCGCTGCCAGCTGAGGTGGTCTGCACACCGAAACCAGTGGCCCCTCCAAACGGAGTGGCCCCACCAGAGACAGAAGAGGTGGTGGCCGGTGCGAAGGGCGTGCTTGCTGCCGGGGCAGGGGTTGCTCCAAAGGCTGCAGTACCAAAACTAGGGGCAGCTGTTGTAGCAGGGGGCGCTGTCTGGCCTGCACTGAAGCTGAACCCGCCGGTAGAGCCACTGTCAAGGTGACAAAAAAGAATCAAGGTCATGCAAACTAGACACACTGGCACAGCCAACACTTTCTTCACAAACTTTTCGTGGTACATGTACTTGGTAAAGACACTGTTGTACCTTGACAAGGACAGTATTGGGTGGAAACAACTTTTTTCCTTTTAAAAAACAAGGAGAACCAATGAAAACTACAGTTTGTACCAGTATTTCTCTTTTTGTCAGATACATCAATAAATCATTTAAAATCAAGTGAAAAAACTCACCCTGGTGTTGACGATGCTCCTGCCCCGAACACAAAGGGAGCACTTGCAGTGCCGGCTGTAGTTGTGGCAGGTGGCGCCCCCGCACCAAAGCTGAAGGGTGCCGGAGCCGTACTTGCAGCTGTACTGGACAGTGACGAGCCCGTGCCAAACGCGAAGCCTGACGTTGTCGCCGCTGCACTGCCTGTGGCTGAGGGTGCTGCTGCCGGCGTGCCAAAGGTGAGTCCAGTGCTGGGGGCAGCCGATGCTGCACCAGTCCCAAACACTGGTGGGTTTGTGCTCGTGGTGGATCTGAAGCTTGGCGCTGGGCTGGGACTGGCTGAACCAAACGGGGTGCCGGAGCCAAAAGCAGAAGATAGGTTCACCTTGGCCTGAGAGCTGGTGTCTGTGGAAGTGTCAACAGTTTTATTTTAAGTTGTGTCTCCATTTATCTGGAAACAGGACATAAATGTCAACAATTGAAAGACTATTTCATGCAAATTTGAACTGAAAGACACAGCGATGACTGAGGTTACTAGTCAGGTAAACACATACCTGATGATTCTAGGCTCCTTTTTGCTGAGGGCTGACTGGATGAAGGCTTGGGTACACTCAACTGACCTGCCTTGGCCAAATCAGCTATGCTTGTCATCTTGGGAGCTGAAATAAAATGGCTATTGGTTTAGATAACAGCTGTTGCTTGGGTCTAACTTACTAACTAAAGATCTCACAAGTACAAATTTGGTGATATGATTGTATCCTACTAAACATGACACAGTTTTAAAATCAGTGTCATACACACATAAAAAGATACAAAAAGTACCTTCATGAGTAAACACCCATGATAATACATGTGCATTGTACTAATGTGAAAGCTTTATTACCTGCATCAGTTGTCGTCCCAAACGATGTCGATGACTGTTGGGCTGCTGTTCCCGCTCCAAACGTGAACCCAGCAGAGGCAGCAGCACCAGCGGCTGAACTTCCCGTCCCAAACGTGAAGCCCCCGCTGGCGGCGGCCCCCGGGGCAGCAGGTCCCGATGTTGTCCCTGTGCCGAATGCGAAACCTCCGCTGGCTGATGACGTGGTGTTAGACGTCGTGGTGGCAGCTCCAGAGGAAGAGCTGGCTGCTCCAAACGTGAAGCCACCACTGGCAGCGGTACTGGTGGCAGCAGTCCCGGCACCAAACGTGAACCCACCGCTGGGGGCAGAGGTTGTCCCTGCACCAAACTGTACGCCACCGCTGGATGTGGTGCTTGTGGCAGCTTCTGTACCTCCACTGCCAAACTTGAACCCTGGATACATGATAAGTTCTTTGAGTAATAGCAACTGATGTCATGTAAAATGAACTATGATACATAAACAGACAAATATAAACAAAGGTAATAAGTGGGACAGAACTCAGTACATGTACCTGCAAATTGGGGTTTGGCATCTGTTGATGTTTCAGCAGCTTTTGGTGCCCCAAACTGGAACCCTCCGGTGCTGCCACCGAAGGAGGTTGTTCCCCCTGTGGATGTTGACTGGGAGCCAAACTTGAATGCCCCTGATCCAGAAGAGGGCAGGGCACTGCCTGGCTTCGGCGTTTCACAGGCGGCACATTTTGTCACATCCTTGTCATTCTGGACCATACAGGTTTCACACTCCCACTTGGACTGCTGTGCAGACAGAGCGGCGGCAAAGCCTGAACTGTTCGTACCCGATGATAAACCACTGCTTCCACTTGTTGCACCGCCTGAACTAGATGTGTTTTGGCTACCTGGCTTTGGTGTTTCAGACGCTGCACATTTAGTCTTGTCTAACAACAACCCGGATGAACCGGAAGTCGATTTAAACGTACTCGATGACCCAAAGTTGACAGCAGGTGTAGATGCAGCTGGTTTTGACTCACTGCCAGGTTTAGGGGTCTCACATGCAGGACATTTTGTCAACTCATTCTCGTTTTCCACGAGACACGTATTACAGGTCCACTTGTTTCTTGCTGCTGCTGTTGACCATATAGATTTACCAGCATCTTGTGTATTTGCACTAGTGGATACAGAGTCTGTGGTGCCTTTCTTCAATTTGTTGGAGTCCTGTTTAGAATCAGCAGCAGCAGAAGAACTACTACTACTTCCGAATGTGAAACCAGAGCTGGCAGAGTTCACAGCACCTGCAGATCCAAACTTAAATCCACTGTTTGTACTGCTTCCCTCCGTGGTGGTGCCAAGTTTAAAACCATTGCTTTTGGGGACTGCATTACTGCCAAAACTAAATAAGCCATCCTTCCCATCAGACTTTGTTGAAGCACTGGATGCAGTGAAGGCAGATGGACCTGTGCAGGAAGATATTGGGCCTGGTCAAAATGGAGGGACTGGATACAGGGGAATTTTTTCTTCGTGTGAAATAGCCAGGGGTTGGGCTCAAGACATCTTTCCCAACAACAATGTACACGTTGAGAAAAACTCACTGCATATCCATTTACTTACTATCATATGAAGCCAAATTGTATGACTTCATGAAGAAATCTTGACTAAAACTGCATGCTTCACACCTGAAGCAAACAATACTTTATTCAGACAAAGTAACATTGCCTACTAATACTTACATCACACTGAAGGAAAAGGCCTAGAATTATTACCGAGAACAACACCATAGAACCAAAGGCACTTACCAGTGGTGGGTACTGTGAGTTTGGGCTGGCTGCCAGGCTTGGGGGTGTCACAGGCGACACACCTGCTGGCTGCAGCTGTGTTCTGCACCATGCAGGTGTCACAGTCCCAGGCACCTGATGGCTTCTTGAACTGATCTGCCAGGGATGGCATTGCTGCAGGCTGTAAGAACAGGTAAAGGGCATATAAATCAAGTTGTACACAGGAAATATATATGGCTATTCAACAAACTAACATAATAATGAGCTATGCACTTCACATAGGTCAGAAAGGCCCATATCTGTGTTTACAAAATATACAGTGACATGTTATTTAAGTTGAAAGCTTATACCACTTACTGATGTACTGCAGTCGTTGAGATTAGTTTTTATTGCCCAATTCATCTGTTTAAGTTAACTGCTGTTTATTGCATACACAAAAAAGTACCAAGTTAACATTTTGAATCATTTTCCACCACCTTTGTACTAGCAGCCACCTCTCCAGTTGTTTTCTTTTCCACAGGTTTCTCTTTTGCCCCCTCTGGCTTACTGACTAGTGGACCTCCCTTCAGGGCCTCCAGCACACTGCCTGATTTCAGTGGCAGTGGCTCTGCCTTCAGGGCATCTAGGACACTGCCTTGCTTCAGAGTTGGGGGAGGGGCGGGGCTGCCAGTAGTAACTGCCGGCTCGGCTGCTTTCCGTTTGGGCTGGAAGCTTGACCCTGCACCGGTTGTAAGGAAGGTAGAACCGCCTGTTGGGGCAGACATGGCTGAGGATGTGCCGAAACCCTGACTGGAGAAGGACTTTCCTGGGGATGTAGGCTGGCTGAACTGGAAGCTGGGCTGTAAGGAAGACAGCGGGAAAATACTAAACACAAGGGAAATCAAGAAGAAAGACAGGATAACCTCCCACCAACACTCAGCACATTTCTTACAGAAAGTACTTCTATGTCTGATTGCCACATTACAAGGTTACTGTCATAATTTCCCTCAGATTTTTTCAATCCCTGAAACAACAGATTTTTTTTCTTATCTTGAAAAAAAATCATTCCTTACACTTGGTTAATCGTGGTTAATGCAATCTACAAGTTTTCTTACAACATGAAACGAGTTCCTGTCAGAAACACAGTCAACAAGCTACTCACTGTTTCAGTATTGCTAATTGCTGAGGTGTTGTCCTCTGGGCTGGACCTGACTATGGGAGATGCGAAGGTGAACTGGGGTGATGACGTCACACTGCTCACCTGTGGGGTGGTGCTCGAGGTGCTGACCTTTGCCTCACTTACGGGTTTTGACGGTGCCGGGGAGAAGTCAAACTTGGGCAGGCTGGTTCCAGACAGGGGGAGGGCGATCTGGGGGAGGTCTGGCACCTCAGCCTTGTGTGGGGAAAAGCATAGCAGTGGTTTCTTAAAGTCATGCCACAAGTTATATCCTCAAATCATCTTAAAAGTATGTGATCTACATGGTATGAGGAACTGTCTTTTTTTGCTATTGAAAAAGAAGGAAAAAATTGGTAGATCAAAATCTGTAATTTGATACATTTTAACACCTAAGGGTATAATTTCCACCATGTCCTTAATAATTTCATCAGGAACATGTGCTTGAAGAAAAGACTAACCTCTTCCTCGTCCTGCACTGCGTGTGCCCGTTGCGTGCCGTATGATCTCTCCCTGCGCATCTTACCCCCACTGCCCTGGGGCAGCTGGGCAGGTGGAGTCCATGTGGCAGCAGCCTGGCTGCTAGGCTTGTTGGCAGGTGCTAGCCGAGCCTCAGCTGGCTTACTCGCTGGCTGGCTGATTGCTTTGACTGGAGATGGCTCAGTGTTTTGGGATTCAGACTTTGTAGGTTCACTGTCAGGAACCAAAATTTCCTACAAGTGCGACAGACGCAGGACAGCTTTAACTTTGGAAGCAGCAACCAAATGGAATCAAGTCAAGTGCTTTTCTTTATACTTCATTGCCCCAGTGGGCTATCAAATTAAGATAAAATGTACAAGAGAATAATTTAGAGTAACAAGTATGACTAATGTAACCATCAACATACAGACTTATTGGTAAAATGTAATGTTAGCCTACCTCTTTAGCTGGCACTACAGACTTTCTGGGCCTGTAAGTAGAATGTGTCTGTGCCCTGTTGGTAGCAATGGAGGCAGGTGTGGACAGGTTCAGTCTCTGTACCGGGGGCTGTCCTGCCAGCCGCCCCTCCAACCTGGAGGCACCCGGGTCCAGGAAGCTTCCACCCATAACTCTGCGCTTTTTAGAGGAAGGCTGGGAGGGCACAGGGCAAGTAAAGGTAAGTATTTGTGTACTACAATGAACTGTTGTAGACATTGTGTCCTCTTGAAGCAACTGCACAACCAAAAATCTAAAAAATCTTTAAGACAACAGTTGCCCCCTGGCTGAAATTGAGAAAGATCATGTCAGAATACCAATGCCAATTAATCAATCTTTGCTAGCAGAAGAAGTCTATGAACTTGTAAAGCCCGTAAAAAGAAATCTGCTTACTGTAAAGCCCAGAGGGGACTCGTCAGAGGGCAGTGTGAGGGAAGGGATCCTCTTGGCATCAGACACAGGTGTAGACATCCTCTCCAGGGTGTGGAGAATCCTCTGTGCAGTGACAGACATGACCCCGGACCCGCGGCTGCTGTGGACAGGCTTGGGGCGGACCTGCTGTCTCATGGTGTGGGGTGGGACCTGCTGAGGCAACACAATTCAATTTGTCACTTTACACTTCAGTTCTTCTGCTTTTTTCAATCATGAATGTATTTAGATTTTTAGATTTGAAACCATCTTCCTGCTGAATATTCAGCTTGCACCTTAAATTTTCTAAAAATGGCCAAGTGGATTGCAATGTCACATGGCATAGATAAAGTTTGTGAGGCCTCACTTCATCACTAGGGCTGCATACCTAAAGGTAACATCAAGGTACAGGTACAAATACAGAGGTTTAGGTACAGGTCCGGACCTGCACCTGCACCTGAACAATTTGACAAATTAACACATGCTCTTCTGAACTTCCTCAATAACATTAAAAAACAGTGATACTGTCTACTTATCTAAGAGAAAAACAAAAGAAGCTAGAGCTTCTCTCATAATTGCCTTTTTAGAAAAATTCTGTCTTACCTGCAGAGGTGAGACAGTCCTGCCACGTTTCTGTCCCTGTTTCTGTGCAGATGCTCCTCCGTAGGTCGTCCTTCCCTCGTAAAATGGAGACTCAGTGATGGGGCTCCCAAACAGAGAGGACGAGTCATTCTGAAGAAATTCAAATCTGTTCATCACTGTGTATTTTTTCATGATTTTTTTTACAATGAACTTGAATACACCTTTCCCCAATACTTCATTGACAAATTATTAGTAGACCAAGTCCTGACAGGAGGGACTTCTCATTTAAAGGAGGAAAGATTTTTTGTTTACTACGTTCTCTTTAAAAATGATACTGTAAAATGCCATGGGATCCTCACCAATGCCGGGGAGCCGAAGACAGAGTAGTTAAACGTTGGTTTTCTGGCCGATCGTGCAGGTGGTTGGGGCAGGGCCATTCTGGTCTCACGTTCTTCTGACCACAGGGATTTGGGCCTGGCAAAGTCTGAAACAGGGTGGCACAAACTCACATCAACAAAGAAGACATGTATATTAGGATGGTAATGTAAAGTAAAAAAAAAGTACAAACAACTAAAACCAATACTAATAGAATTAAAGCCAATACACACCTTTAGCACCCTCATCTGTCGTTGCCTCACTCCTTCTCTCACTCTGGTCGACTTGTGGGACGTTGGAGAAACTGATGCTGGTGGATGCTGAGTCTTCTGAGAACTTGTCTTCCTCAGCAGCTGAAAAAATCAAGGCATTTTTTAAAGATTGAATGGCCTTACTATAACTATAAAAAACATGTACGCAGCTTGCACAAAAAAGACAGAAATTGCCAACAGGCCTTATTTGTTTGAAATGACCCTTACATGGTAAGGCTGAGTTAGACGGTGCTTCCCGTGTGTATGTTGTGGTGTAGGATGAAGTAGCTGATAGAGATTGTTGTGTCCTTTGAGCATGGATGGATCCCCGTGTCAGTGGGATCTGACTGAAGTAGCCCGGCCCGGGACGAGAGTCCTCAGAACCTGTACAAAGACACGGGTTGTTCTAACTTCTAATGAAACTCTAATGAAATTCAGGATGGATACATGCAAAACATACAAAATGATTTTTTTTCCAACAGCCACAAGACATCTAACGTTACATGTGTATGTCCCCTAAAGAAAGTGATGTAAATGGACAGGTACAAGTTACCACACTCAGCAGGAAACTCTAATTCAGGATGGAAACATGCAAACACTTGAAGTTTTTCTTCAACAGCCAAGACATGTACACGTGTATGTTCCCTGAAGGAATTGATGTGTATGGACAGGGACAAGTTACCAGACCAAAGGGTAAAGCTGGATCTCGTACCCTGTACTGATGAACTCTGTTGATGGGTTAATCTGTTTTTAGTGACGTGAAGTGGAGGTGCTGCTGTCTCTTCCTCCTCCTCCTCTTCCAGCCCATTTTGATCTTCACGTATGTGCACCACAGGAACATGTGCAGGTTTCCCTGTGCGTGCAGACCTCTCTGTGGTCGGTTGCACACCACTCTCATCTTGACCCCACATGCCTTTTAGCCACGAAGGCGTCAGGTACTCTGTCACACTGCTTAGGATGGACTACAGGGAGAAATTACCATAAAACCAGAATCAGTCATGTGTTACTCATCCATGCACAAGATTTGGACAACACCCAAAAGCGAGCCTTAATGTACTTACAGCCATTTTTACTACACGTATCTATTCTATCTTTATGTGGTTATCAATATCATGTACCTTTGTAGTGAAGTAGGCTACACTGTATGATGGTATTAAAACAACCTTCATCTGCATAATATTAAAACAAGTTTCCAAAATTGTTTTACCTCATAACAAATTGTCAATGGAATGGTCCAAATGAAAAATTATAGCACTGTGCAAAGCAAACTTTACAAGTTTGACTATAATTGAGATGTTATCACTGAAGGTCAGTTTATTGGAGTTCTACCCTTTCTATAACGTCTCATCACATTTTGTTTCGTTACACAAGTTCCTACGTAGTTACAGGCATTTTGTTGCATACATAACGAAAAATTTGTGACGTCCAACTCCAAAGTCACAAAAATGTCTTTTTTGACAGAAAACTTACCTGTCACTGTCATATTTCGCCGCCGAATTAGGGACTTTCTGCGTGCGTGTAAAAACCCCGCCAGGCCCAAGACGCCCCATTTACCTTGACTCTTTCAATTTCCTACAGTACCTGTGAGATTTTTATCATCCCATACTGCACATGCCTGTGTCGGCGCCCTCCCCATGGCCCATGCTTACCTTTCTCCCGCCGGATCTAGCGTACGGTTTCGGCGCGTGTGACCGCCGGCTACGCGCCTTCCCAGCACCGGAGGCCGCCATTCTGTTCCTGGCAAGTGCCGTCAGCTCTCGGGCCGACAGATAACTCTCGAAACGGTGCGAAAAGTTTGCAATTTCTTGAAGGATTTCAAATTTTTTCCCTCGTCTAGCAGTACTTCCCGACCAAAGATGGCGGCAATCTGAACTTCTTTGCTATTGGTGGAGCCAATCACGTGATTGCTAACTTTGACCTGTCACAATTAGTTGGTGCGCCGCCTAGCGGTATACATCAGAATGCAGTGAGCACATTTGCTCTTCCTACAGTATATATTGGACAGGTAACGTTACATGCATAAGGCAATCAAATTGCCAGAGAATAATTCTGACCAATTAAACGGTAAAAACCCTAGTTCTTCCACGACTGGGGTCTGTGGTACCGGTAGCCAGCGGTAAAAAAGTGACGAAAGGGTTTGGAGGGTTCAAGTTTGAGTTCACATTTCTCATAATCTACTGTGAAATGATATCAGATAATAATGTCTGAAAAGTGTAAGAAGTAGTAGTTTCTTGGTGAAGATTGATTTTGGCCTGAGTCCTTACTTCAAATAAATAAATCCTTACTTCTGGGTATTCTTCTGCTCTGAATGTGATGTGCCCACTTAACCCTGTTTGGCATCATATAACGTTAAACGTTAAGCGGATTTAGAACACTTTGCACTGTGGATGATAAGAAAAATTTTAGAACTTAGATTTCCTTCATAATTGTATACTCAAGGTTTGTGTCTTTCTGCCTGCACCAGTCATTTCTGCCTTAAAAGTGTTTTCTATGGGATTATCCTACTTGAAAATTCTCAATTTTTTTAGGCTGGGTACCATCCTGGTTAAGAATTGAAATTCTACCAACACGTTATTTGATAGAAGTCATGACTCGAGATTGAATGAATACACACTAGTTCTATGCCAGCAATGAAGCAGTGACTTTATTCATCACCTTTTCAACTGTCATATTTCCCTGGTGGAATTCCAAATATATAAACATCTTTGCATCACAGCACAGTTGCAGTCTTATCACAGTTATGAAATATGAAAGTCAGTAGGCACAGACAGCCTACGCTACACACTCTGTTCCAAGCAATATCTTTCTGCTCTACACCCTATATTGTGAGTTTAGCACAATTTTGACAGTGGATTAATATAACTTTGATGATAGAAATTATGTTTAATGTTTGACAAATACTTCATTAGCTCTTAGATATGCATCATCTATCACCTATTGCTGACTGTCTACATCCAACAAATATCTTCATTATCCAGTGCTCTTGTGTGCTTACTGGTGCATCTTAAAATCTTGAGCATATCTACACAAAGGCTAAATGGTAAAAAGTAGTAACTAAAGATGGATAGATTAGGAATGGATCCCAAGTTCCCGACAGAGCTAAGCTCTGGTTGCAGTAGTCCCAACTCAGTTGGAGATGGCCCTGTACCCGAACCTGGCCACCATCAGCAGACTCAGCCCAGCCACCAGGCCTGCAGGCATGAACTTCCCCGAGTTGATGAACCTCGAGCCCATCACTGCAGTCAGCACTCCAGAGGTTCCTGAGGGATGGGAAAAGTAACATTATTTACACACTCATTTTGTTGAAGATGAAAAATGACTAACTTATACAAACAAAGTACAAATGTATCAACACTTTGGGAAGGATGTAATGTCATATGGTTGCAATAAATATGGTTACTAAAATAGATACACTGACCAATCAGATCATGATGACACCATATTACAGACTACATTCTTTTTATTTTGAAGTCTCCTCCAAATATGGTGTGTGCATGTGTTACAGTACTTGTATATCTGTATAGATTAGTGCAACTGTGTGTCTATAGTAACATACCCAGGGAAAGCAGGTAATTGTTGGGGTTGACAGATGTCTGGTAGGCTCCCACACCCATCAGTCCCCCAAACACCAGGCCTGCTCCCAGGGACATGACACTGCCTAGACAACAAACAGGGGAGAAGAGAAGTGTGTGGGTAACAATAATAAAATACTGGGTACTTTGTACCATGAAAATGGTTGTTTTATCTATTCATATCAATATGCACTGATAAGTCTGACATATCAACCAATTGATTTCATTGACTTACAGTGATTGTTTAATTTGTTATTATTTTGCTTAATACTGCAGACTATAAACCGGTTAGAGAAAGAGATTGTAGGTATGATATTTACCTAATGCATGCATTTTTTAAATCTAATTTCCTATACATATATATACTATTGTCATGCACTTGATCTACCCTTCCCCACTTACCTGCCCTTACATATCCCGAGATCCCACCAGCCGCAACAGCCAGGGCGTATCCGATGGAGATGAAGTCAGTCATGGCAATCAGCTCGGGCACTTCTACAACCTGTGTGAGATTGTAACGTTATACTGGGAATAGTATTAAGGAGATATATCCTGACTCACCTTTCCTTACATAGCCCAGGATCCCACCCAAGGCTACAACAAGTGCAAACCCAATGGAGGCAAAGTCAGTCATGGTGATGATCACCTGGCACTTTCAGATGAACAGGGCTCAAACCCGAAGGAAGTTCAGTGTCTGTGCAGGGGGGTAGGAGGGGGTGTAAGACGAGGAAGTATGAAGAATTTTGCTCTGTCAGTTTGTGTAAGTAAGTAATGATGGTTGGCTGGAATTAATCACTTTCACATCCATATAAAATTAATAAATACTGTAACGATACAAGGAAATGAACTAGCGTTATAACTTGTTAGACATATGGTACAGAGGTTAGTGACAATTGTAAAGTTGTTTTCCAGCTCTGAGATACTGTCTTAGTATAGTAGCTATCATAAACATACATGTATAAACAAATCCATAAATACGGAGAAAATATAGTACTAAAAGTACAAGATTGTTGCACACCCCAACCACTCCCCCCTCTCCTCACCTCACCTGGGGGTCAGAGATGAGAAATATATCCCAACATGCAACACGACACATGTTTATCTGGCTCAAGAACGCAGGAAAACGAAAACGCATTGATAGGTGATGAACGTTCTCTCTCAGTCATTACACCATTTATACAACTTTTCAGTACAGAATCTGTATCTATTGATGTCGATGTACTTTCTGCTATAAGATTATGTTGTTTCCAAAGACCGAATAAGAGAAAGAGCCATACTGTCGTCGTTGCGTTTGTAATTAGGTTCAGACCAAAATGGCGTCGAAAGAAAGCCAGAAACAGAGACGAGAGAGTAGAGGCGAGCCCGATCCCAATCTCCCTCCACCTTTCGATGTGCCGTCCTGGTAAGTCTTCACGTGATTATTAACAGCAAAAGCATAGTCTACTGGGAAAACTCATCTAGGTGGATGCACAGTAACCCGTTCTGCGTGCATTGGCTTATGAAAACACCACAGTTGCCGCGCAAAAATACACATGTGTTGCTTTGCGTGCGCGTTCAAAACGTTAGCGTTCAACCATGGTAGCTCGAAGACTTTGAAGTATTTATATGCATTGACTGTCATTCGAGGACCTCAAATTCCGGAAAATTCAGTGAAAGATGAATCAGTATCATGTACCTCCAAACCAAACCAAACCTAGAAAGTCTGTTCATGTTCCAGACGTTGAATCATGTTGTTGTCCCTCACTCCGTGATCACCTTTCCAGCACGCACGTACGCCACGCCTGCTGCTTGTTTATTCTTTCATAACCACGCAACATTAGTTTTGTGTTTATACCATAATGTGCTACAAATGTACAAACCATACCAAAGAGTCTACTCTACTCTACTCTACTCATACCGAATATGACGTTATTATGGGCACACGTCGGATCTACAGTTCCTGGCCAAAAACGCACTCAAAATTATTTTAATAAATTCTATTATGCAATTTTGCACGAGTTCATAAGTCCATAGAATAGATCATTCATCTATTATTCATAGTGGTGATCAGCTTTTAACATTATTGTATTATATGTTCCAGGGCTGGGAAACCTCCAGCAGGACTTCACTTAGATGTCATCAAAGGAGACAAGATGATAGAGGTGAGTGTTTCTGTGACAATATCTGCAGACAGACTGTGACATTTTATTAGCACCAATTCATCAAATTGATCATCTATACATACATAATGCAACACAGCAACACATTGTAGTCACCAAGAAAAAGTGACAGGTGCATTTTCCATCAAGAAACACTTACTTAGGCCATCATAGCAGATTTTACATTTTCCCTTCTAAATCTTATCTTTTGTTTTCAGAAACTGATCATTGATGAGAAGAAGTACTACCTGTTTGGAAGGAACTCCAAGATGTGTGACTTCTGTATCGACCACCAGTCCTGTTCCAGATGCCATGCAGCTCTGGTCTGGCACAAGCACCTCAACAGAGCTTTCCTCATAGACTTGAATAGCAGTAAGTATGCATAGCCAGGTAGCACATTGTTTTCAATGAGTAGGTTTTGGACTTCAGCCTCATGATTGCTTAACTGTGGCTGTATAAATCACTCTAGTCCTTTGCAAATCATATAGAAGGAAGAGGCCATATTGATCTTCATAAATTTCTGTCTGTGCATTTCTGGACAGATTCTGCTGTATAGACTGTACTTACCTACAATGTACATGTATGTTGTGATCCAAAGCAGCCATACCAAAAACAGAATGGACTGGAAAAAACTCACAGTTGCAAAGCACCTGACAGAAGAAGAAGATGTTGTGATATCTATGGAGTGTAAAAGTGTCGGAGAACAGTATTTACATTACACAAACTATGTTCTTTCCAGCACATGGCACTCACATTGGCAACATCCGCCTAGAGCCAAGCAAACCCCAGCAAGTTCCCCTGGACTCTGTCCTGAGGTTTGGAGCCTCCACGCGGACATACGTCCTGCGCGAGAAGCCACAGACAGTCACTACTGTAAAGTCAGACGACACAGAAACAGTTGGAGAAGAGGAGATTTCCACAGGATTGCTGGGTCTACCGGAAGAGGAGACAGAATTGGATGTAAATAACTTGCTCTTAATATGCAGAATCTTTGAATACATGTAGTACATACTGTCACTTCCATGTACTTAGATGTGATCTTTCAACTACAACTTACAGGAAACCAATTTTGCTAGTAAGTACTACCTGTACAGATCTAGCAGTCTTTCTGTTATGCACTGTTGAAATAATATGATGTTGTAACGTTAAATATGTAATGTACAAAACTCCCATTTCTATGTGCTGAAGTATTTTGTTACTCTCATCTACCAGAACTTGACAGAATTTAACACAGCCCACAACAAGAGGATCACAGTATACAGTGTGGAAGAGTCCAACCTAGAAGTCACCCCCTCCCCCATCAAGAGGAAGAGAAAAAGCATGCAGTCAGTGAGATTCATGGATGATGAAGAGGTTATTAACCCAGAGGACGTTGACCCCAGTGTTGGCAGGTTCAGAAACCTGGTATCCACAGAGGTTATTCCAGTCAAGGTGAGTGGGAAACAGAAGGGACTTCAAGTTGTAAACATCTTACTGGCTGTAACTAGTGTAAGACTAGTATTGTGCTTTTTGTCAATTTTGAATGGTTCACAGCCATGTAACTGCTTGTAACTTAACTTGTAAATGAGTTCACAGAAGTGTACCAGTATCGATTTGTTTCATTTTCAAGGACTGGGCACTCATAGCAAAAAGGGCTTTTTGTTCAAGTTACTATTTAAAACGAGAATTGGGAAAGATGCACGCATTGCCACTAAATTATATGAAATTGTTACCAGAAGTTACCAGAAGTTAACACAATGTTCTACCCCACAGAAAAGGAAAGCAGAGGACATCCCCATTCACCAGATTCCATGGCCAAACGTATGCAGCAATTCTACACACCAGGTACATGTGTGGTTTCAATCTGGTGCAGTTTAGACATTACATTATCATGGGATGTACTATGTGCACTTTTATTGTTACCTTGGAATAGAAAGGGAAACATACATGTATGGAAGGCACGTTCAACAAACACTTCTGTTCTCACCCTAATGTCTCTCAAACTTTGATAGGGTAACCAGTCTGATCTGAGGAAATTATCATCACTAAATCTACAGATAGATAAATCTCATGCTCATTCAATATCTACTTCTTGGCATCTGGCCATGATAGTCACAACCCAAGAAGTCGATAATGACACAGAGAGTCGATACGTATGCCAATAAATGCCAACTTGAGCTGTGCGAATTGCCCCTTAATTGATATGTATGCTGTTGCAGGTTTGTACAGTGATCTGACGTCCTCGGGTGATGCGCACACTCCCACATCTCCCACAGCAGGCATGATTGGTTCCTCTGTCTTCAGCGGGTTCAGACCAAACCTGGCACCTGAGGTCGACTTGGCACCTGTGCCTGAACTGCCTGCCACCCATCCTGCCACAGTTATCAGTACTGAAGTCTCATCTTCTGAACCAAAGAAAAAGAAATACGCAAAGGAAGCTTGGCCCGGAAAGAAGCCTACACCATCACTACTGGTTTAGGAGAGGTCTATTTTTCTTCAGCTCAGTAGTTTCTGTTTTTCTTCTTGAACTCAAAATACCGGTGGTTGTGCTGACAACCCAGCAGAAACCTGTGTTGTTTTTCTTTTGCAATCATCTTTCTTTTCATGCAACAACGAGCTATCAGAGGAACAAACCATTTCCATGTGCGGGGGTGCGCTGTTGCTGATTTGTTGATGGATATTCCTATGGAGCTTTTCCCAATCAAGGATGTCAACGATAACAAGACAAGGCTCATGACCCAGGAAGTCTTTGATATCACAATCCGTTACCAACAGATGAGGGTCTCAACACTGAAATGTGGACTGCAGTACAGACTTTATTTTAGCATTGTGGCAGACTCATTGAATTGTGAGAGAAGACATAATGTTATATACTGTATATCTATAGCCCAGAGACACTGGCCATGTGATAACATTATCTAAGTGTGGTTACATACTTCATTTGGCAGCTCTGCCCTGAAGTGTGATTGACAAATACTAATACCCTGCTAGTCACAAGTTTGAACGTAAAGGAATTTGCAGTTTTTGTAGACATCACTATTTTCTAGTATGTCCTGTTGACAGTGACTAAAGTAAAGAAAAAACTATACTGACTGGTAGTATTTGGATTCAGGTGTGACATTTCTGAAGGTTGTATTGTGAAGATTCTTTTGTAATGGAACAATATTCAAAGACAGTGAAAAGATTAATTTGGCCAGTCCATTGTAGAGGTTCTAGGACAATGCAAATCACCATGTTATTATGTATTCATGTGTAATATCTTTATATGTAGAAGTCCTTTATTCTCTTACTGCAGTTAATCAGATAATGTATGGTATGCTTTGTAGCCTGAATTATCAAACCAGTTAAAAATTTCAGTGCTGTAGGATTTGCTAAAGGACCTTTAATCTTACATAGACCATTTCTACAATTACACAATTATGTCGACAATGCAGCCTTGAACTATGTTTCTAGTTTCTTTTGTAGAGGAATATTTTATATAGGTTCATGACGTTAGCTTGTATAAATATGTGTAAGAATTAAGTTGCATAAAATATATGGGGTGAGCACATTATTCTTCTGTAGTGGAATATGAACAGAATATAACACGTACATCATATTTTCATCCTGGACCCAAAGTGTGTAAGATGTGAATGATACATGTACTTGGAGTAAATAATTATTCTGAGGTGTGGAACATGTAATTTTACAAGCCCAGGTTCTGAGCATACAAATTCTCACTGGTTTGTAGCAACCATTTTATTGCAATTAAATGGACCACTTAGATTCAGTATCAAGAATATTTACTGCACTGTATTGTCAACAATTGTGCCACCCTTCTTGTAAGATCTATGGTACTCTTCAGAATAAAACATGTTCCTCTCTTGTAACTTATTGTCTGATTTAGAACTACAGTATCTTTCAGCTGAATAGTACTGTAATCATTACATCTTTGGTGCTAGACCTAGTCACCTAGTCCACTAAGTGCAGATGGTATAATTAAGTTACAACAATAGCTGGTTGAATGAAAAGAAGAAGAAGAAATGTATTGGAGTTCAAATGTCAATTGATATTCTTTATCATGCAGAAGATGTTACTCAGCAGTCCCGTAGCTTTGAAGGCATGGGGACAAGCTCTCTTCAAATGTTCTCAAACTCTGGCGTTCGTCTGGTCAGCAAATTTAAATTGTTAAATTGCTACAGTTTCTTGAGGCCAGCCCAGTTCATATTATGACCTAATAAAATTCTTTCGCTACAGAAAGTTTTTTTTTCTAACCCCTATCCTTCCTTCAACACCGGTGAAATGCATTGCTGTACACTCCCTCTCAGTCCTGTTTTGACGGTAAACATCCGATGTGTGGCGCTGTTGCACATGCTTGACCTTTGCAGGCCTAACTCATTATCATCTGCTGGGGGTGGCGGGGCGAGCCGGGCCATCGCGTGCTGCAGTCGGGCTGAGCTGCCGCCGAGAGAGCTGGCCGGGATTTTTTAATGGAGAGGTTCGTAACTTCTGAATGTATGTGGTTAGAAAGCTAATAAGCGGGAAAGTAATTTCATGTGCGTGATAAGGCGAGATCTGTAGGCGGGAGACACGGCGGTCTCCGGAAGTATAATCACTAGCAGCAGGCAGAGAGCGTCAGGTTCGGCGGAACAACACTTCGGGCCTCAAAAGTACGTCTTTTCGTCTCCTCGGGGGTAAACTGGGGACCACGAACAGTATCAGGATATCACTCAACATGTCTGCTAAGCCCTTCTCTCCGACTTAGCATTCCGTCGAGGAGATTTTATCTGTCTTGCATGTCTTGGGGAACAAGTTTGGATGGGAATGGCAGGGGAGGGGTCAAGATACCATAGGAGTGAGTAGGAGGTCCCTCTACCCCAGATCCCCCAGTTCAACTGTCCAAACTCTGGCGTGTTTGATACGTTGTCGCCACGCATTCCTGATTTTGTCCCACATTTCTCTCTGACACTTGAGGAATCTCTCGACATTTTACCGATTAATCAGTTGGGTCTTCCGCGCATAAACAAACACGGGCGTGAAAAAACCAGGCCACGTAGCCAGCTGGAAAATGCAACCAGTGGTTTCCGCCTGTCTGACTCCCTCCGTGTTAGTACTCGTCAATTGCGCCGGCCCATTTCGCTGTATTTCTGTACTTTCAAGGGCATTATGAGTGTGCAGGGAGGCCAGATGGGGGCCTAGGCGTGATAAAGCACGGCCTCCCGCCAGCCAAACTTGGCTTATCAGAAATATAACGGTACCCTGCGCCCGGGGGAGGCAGAGGGTCGGCCGCTCCGCCATTTGGCCTGGGGGTGTGGAACGGAGCAACATGGCAGGGGTGATTACGGTGTTGAGCTGTACTACATTCAGGAAAATCTCAAACAAGCTCCAGGAGAGGATGTATTAAACGTTGCAAACTGTAAGAAGAGGGTTAGACTTGGACGTCGTGCTTTACTTAATGTTGGTATGTAGACAGAGTTCTACCAAGGCACCGCCATCCCCCCAACAGTTGTGGACGCCCCCCTCCCACTTTGTTTACATGGTAAAGACCCACATGCCTGACATTCCTGGCCGCTGGTGCACCATGGGAGGCTGCCTGCAAACATTACACCAATCATGGCAAGGTGTTGATAGGGTACAGGTGTTTACAGCTTTGATTGGACACCAGATCATAAAACTGTTGCAATATAACGTTATGACTTATTGTGTATTGTCCATTTTCACATATGATCATTTGGCTACTAATGTTTCGGTCAACAGGTGGTGCATAACCTCAGGTGTGCATGCGTGCAGGTAACAAAAGCATCCAAGAGATCTTTAAATTCTCACCTTTCCAGGCCTGTACCACAAAATTATGCAATGGGCAATCACACCAGCCCATTCAATACACACTTAGAAATATCATTCTCAGACAAAATGCTTTAAAGTACACTACATTCACTTTTCTGAATGGAACTCTGGACCCTAGGTTCCAAATATCTAGGAAGTATGTTTTGATTAAAAAATATGATACCCTTGAGCCAATGTGAGCTGTTTACATTCTTTAGAAAACAGGTCACACTTCTTATGTTCAGAGGCAAAGAACCTTTTAACATGTAATATGCCTGATTACGTATACAATACAGTATACAGTTGCATCATTTTTCAGGAATGTCTGAGTTATTAAAAAAATGAGCACTAGTAAATGATTCAAATTTCAAGTGGGTTAGTTTCAATCATGTCCCCATCTAGGGTGAGAGTTATACATGGCCAGGAGCTGGTCTAGGTGTAAACTCATTTCCTTGATGTAAGATTGGATTTCCAGTTTCAAGATACGAGACTTAGAGTTAGACCCTTTCTGATAAGGGTCCTGACCCAAATTACTTTGGCTCTCCAAGTCATAAACATTCTGACAAGGACTCCTGCAGGAGAGGACAGATCCACCACACTGAGCAGTCAGCACATCATCCTTCGGAGGTTGAAAGGTCACTGGTCCATTGTTACGGCATTCACCGTGACGGATTAGTAAGTTTAGTAAATATCATTACTGTCATGGCCATGCTGTCTGTCCACAGCCCTCTGAAAGTCATCTCTACATTGTACAATGGTTTTTGACTACTTGCCAGTGAAAAGCACTCAATAGAGACAAGCCCACATGGTCAAATCCCTGCTATTCTTACAAAAGTATTGCAGGCAGGCTTTTAGCTAGGGGGTGTCCAGGGTGTCTTTTGGACGCCCTGTAGTGAAAATAATAAGAAATTGGACGCCCTACTTTTTGGTAGGACACCCTAAAGACGCCCTATTTTTTCCACTCCCAACCCCTGCCATGCACACATACCTCCCTTCAGCCTTACTATGAATACAAAATTTATCGTTTACTGAAGGAAAAAAACTCACATTTGCACGCCAAAATGCAGAAAATAGTGTTTGAGAGCATTATGAATTTAAAAAAAAGCCCTCCTAAAAAGCTCGCGCACCGTGCGTCTTCACAGTGCATAGCATACAACAACAAAAATGGACACCCACCAAAAAAATCCTACCTAAAAGCCTGATTGCAGGCCAAAAGGAATCGTGACCTCTGAACACCAATTTATAGCCATCTACTGAGTCAATGAATACTTGCCAAAAACGCTCTCAAACCCAGGTTCTTGTGGGAGATTCAGTCTTTGTGAAAATACATCTGCCTAGACATGTTGGACCAGAGGAATATAGGTGTAAATCCATTGCTGCAAATATGATCTGATGTACAGAGTCCCATGGCAAGAAGGGTCTTGCAAGTTGACGGCAGACATCATCAGCTGAATATGGGAATCCTGTGAACTGCTGTTCTGAATGTTGAATTTGGCACTCCACCACTCGACTAGACATGGGTAAAGCATTAGAATTGTTGTTTTTGGATGGAGACTGGAATGGTCGTGCAACTCACTCACTGTGGGAACCAAAGTGAAGTAATATAATCCACAGGTGTAGTGATGTTGTCAGAGCCCCTCCAGTTTATTTTTCAACATAGCTTCCTATTTCATCAGCTAAAAGGGGATACTGTTTACTCCAACCTTTACTGAACCACCCAGACTGTGCTAGTGTTTATGTTTAGAGAGGTTCACAAGAGGTCAACAGCCATACTTCACTTGCAGGAAGCCCAAGTCTAAACACAGGACCTCCTGCTGACTTCTTCAAGTTGTCCTGGTTAGAGTACCATTCCATATGTTGAAGCTAGCTGTATATTTAGCCTGCAAATTGCGGGGCTCTGCACTGTGTTTTTCTGTAATGAAGACCCAGGGTCTGCAAATTATGCCAAGGACTTCAATAGGCGCAGCATGTGCAGGAAATTAAAGGCGCAGGACTACAAATGGAAAGGTTGGTAGCAACTTCCCCTTATAAGAAATAAACTCGACAACCGGTGTACAGTGTATATGTAGATCTGTCCCAGCTTTCTTCATTGAATACTTGCCAGATTAAGTGGGTCAGTCCAGTGGTATGATGTACTACAACCCTTACAAGTTACATGATGCCTTATTCCAGCATCATTCATAGCAGTAGATGATCGACCTAGTTTCCCTGGTTTCCATCTTCAGCAATCCATGGGATCGCTTCAGCAATCCATGGGATCGATGTGCCATAAACGTAAGAGTAATGTTTCCAGGGTATTTTCACTCTTCAGATAGGAGGTATATTAAACTCCCGGCAACATTCATCAAGTTGTACCCTAGCCTGGGTACCATCCTGGTTAGATTACGTCCGCTCCCACAGTCGCTCCCACTGTGAAAGCGGACATTAACTAACCAGGATGGTACCCGGGCTAGTTGTACCCCTCCAATACTACAACTAGAGAGGGCCTGCATGGGGGGTACTGATTACGAATTACGCAAAATTTTCGACGCCAATTACAAATTACGTTAAGTTCTCAGAGCTGATTACGACTTTACGCTTTGCGGCTCATGTACTACTGTATTACGAATTACGTTGATTTTTGGGAAGGCTGCCTATGGATTACGAAGACCAAAAAGGCCAGATTACACCTTACGAAAAAAGGCATGCCGGCACCCACTAGACAATACTGTACAGTAAGTTTTCAACAACCTTGTGTGCTATATTTTCCCTGAAGATTGTATTGATTCACCAAAACTAAAAGCTTGCATGAAGGTAAGACTACCAAAAAGGATGAAGGCTTTTTATCCATAATGTCAATGATTTACAATGCGGACTTCTGGCATGGCCATGGTCTTGATGTTTTTTGTGGGTGTCGTGTTACTTGAATTATTAGGCAAGCTGTCAGGCACTACCTTGACTGTAGAGTATCAACCTTGTCATAAGTTCTAGAGTTACCTGTACAAGTTTGTAAGTGATACAGCAGCATGAAATGAGCCTATTTTACACTGGGTACTAACATCTGTTGCCAATATAAACAATCCACCTACATATACTTGTACTATGTTGTACAGTCATGCTGTAGGTATTTTAATTCGGATAGCTGTGGCTTTGCTTTCAGCCATTCTTAGTCTTCCAGCTTGTAACTGACAAACTTGGATTTCATAAACCATTGAAACTTGCCATGCACCCGTGGTTGGATGGTGAATTTATATAGTCTCAAAAGGTACAGGTACAATGTAGCTCTTAACAGTTAACATCCGTGTCCATAATATCACCAGGGCCCATAATATCGCCACCTTGAAAAATAGTGTGCTTTAAGATATTTTTACTGCAGCATACTTTTGGTATGCACTCCTGCACACCTCAACTGTACATACCTAGGGTATGTTGCAGTAAAAATATCTTTAACACACTTTTTCTCAAGGTGGCGGTATTATGGACAATGGTGATATTATGGACACAGATGTTATACATCAAGGTCATATGTATTTTGATAGTTAGTAGCAATGCTAGTACAGTGTAGTACTGTTAGTGTTAGCAGCATAAAATGATATTAATACTTCCTCTTGTCTTTTTCAGGCTGTAGATAGACTATAGAGGAACTGAGAGTTGACTCCAGCCACCCCCATCCCCCTCCTCCCCTTGGAAGTGAGAAGTGCCCCAGGCAGGACAACCCTCGGCCCAGGAGCTGTGATCATAGTTGTAGTGACACCACAGGATGCATGATAAAGGTCAGAGGTTCTGCCAATACACATAGCCATTACATTGGCCAGATGTTCAATGCCATAGAGCAAGGAGTAAAACCTCTGTGCATATTCATCTGAATATGACAAATAGTTTCAGGTCTGATGGAGTTTATAGTGATTGTGCTTTGTCCTTGCACTACCCAGCTTAATCTTGACAAAAATTGGGAAGAAATAGACTACATCTACTAGTATCTCATCATCATGGCAAAGCTGGTTGTTGGACTTACTGGTAATAAGTGTTCTTGTGTATGATATTAAGTGGAATTTGGGAAGTTGCTGTTGGTTTTCCCCTGTGGCGTGATATTTCCTCAGTATTCGGGCAGATATTTTCACCACTAAGTTTGTGTAGATCCATGCAGGTCACTAATGAATGTGATCCATTTCGACGAGAGTTACAGAAAGACTTTAAGACATTGAATGAGTTCTAAATGGGGAAAGTCATGCCTTCAAGGGCCTTTTCAAACAAATTTGGAGCATTGAAAGTGTATTTTCTGGCAAGGCTTCAGGCAATTCAAGTGCTTCCATTTAAGCACTGGTACGTTTTGTATGGCCCGGCACTGTGAATGTTATGGAGACAGATAGCTGAGAGTGAGCAAGGTTAGTGCTTGGAAGAATCAATAAGTGGTATGCTACGGTACCTACAGACGTGTGACCACCAGAAAATACGACCTTCACAGACAATTACCTGCACAGCCCTCTCTCCCTTAGTATGCATACCTTTCTGATCCTCCCTAATAACAAAGGGGGAGGTTGGATTTCCAGTGATGCCCGGTGGATAAAACTGTGAGTCGATCTATAAAACTTCTTTCTAAACAAACGATTATAGATATGGTGTATCACTGTCCAGGAGTAAATGGTTGGCCATTTCTAGTGATCTGTCTCTGTCGGGCACACTAAACTCTGCTGGCAGACTGCAGATGGTTTTTATGTGAGCAGAATGTTAATGTCAGGAATAGATTTATGTATGCGTTTTTTAGTACTAGTTGGGATTGAATGTAGATGCTCAAACTTTTGTCAATTTGAATCAATTTTTATTTTTATGTACATCTTGATATCTGGATTTTTTTAATTTTAATTTTTTAATTTTTAAAAATTTCCGGCTGCTTGCCATAACACAAGCATACTCCAGTGAGTCATGCAATATATCATATGGTTTAAATGTTCCATCAGCCATCATAAAGAGACTCTGAGGATTGTTTATTATCAAAACCAAGTTACAGCTCTCTGTGTTATAAGCACTAAGTTTCAATGTTTTTCTCATATAAGTGCTGAGCAATTTTCCCCCTATCTTTATCATGTTCCATGATCATAGCCCACAAATGACGTGTTTTTTTCCACACTCAAGTAGCCCATGGCCAGAGGAGGATATAGGAATGCTCATAAAATATGGTCTAGCCAGTACAATTGTAGTGTCCTTTAATTATCATGTGTGCACATTTTTATTCTTATATGATCTTTTCAACAAATTCTTGCTTCTTTTACCTTTCATTTCCATTCAATTTTTTTTTATTTATGATTCCATAATTGTGTAAATTGATCCCAATGCGATGATAGTTTGGGTGCCTAATTTACATAATTAATGCGATGACAGTAATTGCAGATCAATACTTGCGATGATAGCTGCAGATAGGAGGAGTTGATAAATGGTGTGTCAAGCCAATTTTACTACAGCTTGTTGGAACTGTCACTTATGTATACATCTTCCATGATGTGCAGAACAAAGTCTTGAGAAGAGAATGAATATAGTTACTTCTCAGGAGTCCAGGAATTCAGTGTTAGAATGCCCACCTGCAGTCTGCATTTTGCAGAGACATTTTCAATATTGCAGAGAAAAATTAAGCAACTTGCAGACTGAGAACATTAGGCTAGGGGTTCATCAATAGTGTTTAAAAGCTTTTGTGTTTACTACTGACTACTGATATAATTTACTACTGACTCAGTCTATAAATTATAATATACCAGTAATTCTGCATCTTAAATGTTTGCAAACATGCAATTTTGTATATGCCATGGGTTTAGATCCAGACTCTTAGTTTTAATTTAAGTGTGTATTTGCAGAAAGTATTTCTGAATTGCAGAACAAAATTTTGACATCCTGCAATATTGCAGCACACTGAAAAAAAAGTATTTCTACCACTGACTGATGTTCTTCAAAGTTACCGGTATGTGTTTGACAGTTTCTGGGGATTATTTGTGTTCCACAAATGTAATGATTCCCCAGAAATTTACATGAATCATTTAGCTCTCAGACATTATTTACAGCATACCCTGAGAGGATTTTATTCTCCTAAATTGCATCAATGATGATATTCGATTGTTCCTTGCTGATATCATAAATATGATACATATATATATGTGTGTTGCTTGCGGCAGTCTTCAGCGGTAATGCAAATACTTTGTCACATTGTTATCAAGATTTTTTTGTAGTGGCCCTGTTACATATACATCATACCTTGCAATCTAGAACATAATGATCCTTCCTGTACTGTTGTGTTTTTGGCACTGGTTGTCCAATATGTTTTACTGGTAGAAACAGAACCCAGCCAGCAGAATGTTCAAATTTATTGTACGTATCGTCGCAATTCATAAATACATAATAAGGTTTGGTAAACCCCCTGAGACCCGGCTCCCCTGGGGCAGTATGGGTAATATGTTACTGTAAGCAGAAGGCAGGGCAAATTGGCCAGAGATGGATCCTGTTCTGATAGATCCATCCATCGGGAACTGAGCTGCCAGCCTGAATCTAATGTCCATAGATCCTGCGGGACCGAACCATTCCAGCTCATTGGATCGCCGTATCGGGGAGACGCCCCGCCGGCTTCTCCATGGCAACAAGATCGTATTATTGATTTTACAGGTCATTTAGTTTATTGTAGGCTTTGTCATCTCTGCACATGTCCATTGGTCCATTGAAACATCCGAAAGAGGCCACGCCCCCTTCTGTGCTGACCCCCCCTCGTTTTTAGAGTGGTTGCATCCGGGAACCATCGCCTCTCATTTGTAATTCTGCATCCATGCAGTGTATGTGACCGCAGTGCACCGGCATCTCAGAACCCGTGCTGGAAATCTAGCTTGTTGGGAGAACCTCAAGTGCATCTGTCGTCTCGTGTTTCCGAGGAAAGGTGGATTTTGGCAGGGCTGACGTGTAGTTATAATCACCTACTAGTAAGGAATTTCAAGGACGAAACACACCAGTGTTATCCATTGGTGGGGATATTGCAGCTTCGGTGACAGTGGACGTGGGATTCACCCCCTCACCTGTGACCTCGCTGACTGTAATCATGGATTGACTGCTGGTAATGCAGTGTGGTACATTGTGATGATGAGACCTTCCCTCTAGTACCGACGATCAAAGGATTTTGACAAGACAGCCAAGAAGAGGATGCATCCGTGCATTTCTATATTTTCATTAGGTGGTACTTTATGAATTTCCTGTCAACTACAACTTAAGCTACTTAAAGCATAAGCAGCATAAACTTCAACTTTTAGAACAAATTGGTAGAATACAGATAAATAGCCAGAGAAGAGAGTTTACCTCCAGCTTTCTCGTGTGCAGTTCTTTGCTTTGGCAGCATCTTCAGTACAGCAAGATTTCCATCTGTCTCCAGATCATTGGTACTTTTCCTCTCCTGGCATCTCATCAGACTGTCCAGACTCCCAGTACTGTCCTGCAGTTCTTTACCAACATCTTTTCAGGCAGCTGTCTCACTTAAGCAGTACAGCAAGATCTCAGTCTCCGGACCACTGTTCCTTAAACTGACACCTGGTACAGCTGTGTCAGCACAGCGAGATTTCAGTCTAAGTCTCCAGACTACTTGAGTGCCCACCATGTCCCAGGTGTTGACCTGCTCCTACTCTGCCTCCAACTTTGCTAACTTGATGCAGAATCTGCAGGATGACCTACAGAAAGTTACAGGTACAGTGTACATCTCCCAGTATGTCTTCTTGCGAACAATAACTCCAGAAATTGTTTATACATTTTGTACATGTATATGTAAATTTTCAAGGTTATAGGCACATTATATAGACAGACTTAAGCCTTTGGAAAAAGTGAGTAGATTTTAGCGATTATAAATCCAACTTAAAATTTTGCTGTTTTTAGTAAATATCAAATTATATTTTTTGCAAAATTTTAGTTATTTGTAATAATATCATGTTGAAATTTTGTAAACAAACATATAAATGGAATGGACACAAATTTTTTTCATGTAGGAACAGATATTCAAGTATTGCAGACAGGATAAGTAATTCTTTTCATGAAGTTTCGCATAGATTGGCATAACCCCTCTGCCTTTCTTTTCCCTGTAGCTGTTTGAATATTAATGGCAGGAAACTGACGTCAGTTCTTTTGAGGATTACTGTAATGCTTTTTAGAAGATTGAGGTCATCATAGGTTAATAGAAGTAGATAACCCATCAGCTTAGTTCCACATTTGAGTCCAGTCATGGCACCTGAAAGATCATGTCAGTCCGCCATGTGTCATTTATTTAGTAAAGAGGATAAAATGTAAGATACGAGAAGAATGGAAATGTTTGGCAAGCTGAGATGGCTGACCATAGGAGTGCTCAGCCATCCACCAGAAGTGCACACTTCTACATGGCCAGTCAAATCCTCTGGCAACATATTCTTTTCTAAATTTGTACAATTTTTTTTCTCTTGAATTTTTTAATCCACCATTTATGTGATGGGGACTAGATAGAAGGGCTGCTCAAGAGCACCAGCACTTCAAAAAAAATTGATAAAGGAACACCTCATACATGTGCTTATACGGGCAATTTAAAGATAATTTTTATTAGATAAACCATGAAATACGAGGCTGGGCAATGTTTGTAATTATGTGGATGACTTGTGATGTGCTTCACATGGAATATTCAATTATGTGTTGTACATGCATGTAAACTGCTTCTATTAATCAATGGGTTCTATACATGGGCAACATAGCAGAAAATGCACTGGTAATAGCTGTAGACGCCTAGTATACAGTTTATTTGTTGATATTGTAGAATTGAAAAGTTAGTTTTTTGTCCTTTGGCCACACCAATTTAATTTCTTGGTTAACAGATTTTTCTAGAAAAATAATGGAGCGGGCGGGCGAAAAAAATAAAAACAGGCCTAGGCATCCTATCATGGCCCAAAATGGTATGATAGGAGCCATGAAGTCAACACACCAGGCTGGTTCAAAATTTAAACAATGAATTTTGAACTTTTAATGATACCATTGCATTGAAAGATGGAATAACTGTAACAACTAGGATGAAAAGGACTGTTTTCAACTGTTCAGGGCAAAATATGTCAGCATTTTGCAGTTGATTCTGAATTTTTATTTTATTTGCAAATCAGAAAAAAATGAAGCGGGCGAATCCGTTAACCAAGAAATTAAATTGGTGTGGCCTTAGTGATAATTTTCAGGGCTTATCCATACTGTAACTGTAAGTGTAAGCCACCAGCTAGGAATACCATACAAACCTACAATGTAGTATGGTAATGGTCAACAACATGATATGTCAACATAATACAGGAATGGTAGCATCAACCTCCAGTTCATAAACTCCAGCTGGCCCTTGTAATGCTCCTGTCACTGACTCCCCTGTGAGCGTGATATGTAAAGGTCAGGGACACACTTATATTTTTGTCCCTGCCCAAAATGGTCCTCAGTGAAGGGAAAATAGAACACCAGCTGGGCCCTCTTGTGGCATGATGATGATGTGACATTAATATCTGTTTGTCTTGTTTCCGTGGCAACAGGTATTGATACATTATTTATAGCCGGGGTATAATCAATGCATAATTATGTGGCACGAGCTGATTGTTGTATCTACTCATGTATTCATGGTCATACTATTGAAAAAGATGATTGTCCGATATTTGTAACAATGGGACATGTAAATTGTAGATTCCAAGAAAGCGTGCCAGTTAATTTGACTGCTTGAATTTTATATTGGAAAACTACTTCTATTTGATTCATTCTTGGTGATTACAAATTGAATGTGGGCCATAATATATGGACAGCCTCATCCCTAAACTTACGATGGCTCCATGAATCAAGGTGATTTTTCAGTACTAATAGACCTTAATATCTACCATCATTCACATACATGTACGTACAGTTGTACATGTGCTGCATACCATTAGTGGGGTCTACTGTGAAAGTGATTACATATGAGCCTGTTATCGTTGATGTACAGGTAGTAATGAGACTTTGGTAACATGCGTCAGCCCAACTATACATTTTTAATGATGAGCAGATCTAGTAGAAATGTCCATTTTGCCCGCCTGGTGTATTTAGCTTCAGGGAGGATCAAATCCTCTTTAAAGCAGGGGATTGCAGCTCCATTCAAGGCCCAGCTGATTGTAATTATTCAACAGCACAGACCAATCTGAAAGGGTGAATTATGAGACAAGATATTCTGTTAAAACATAGGCATTGCATCAAAAAGAAAATGTGGTATAAAAGGGCCTGGCATAAAACAACTTTTCCACAACATGCAAGATGGCTGTTCAGCAATAGCCCCATCCATAGTTTTGTAAGAAAATAGTAGTAGTTTATAGTTTTACATTTTCCTTGTAGTCTGCCTGCTGCATTGCTTTTCTGGAGCAGCCCAAAGAAGTGGTACATTTTGAAACTAGTTAGATCTTAGCTTTTACCTTGACAATTTTCCCCTCAGCGTTCCCCTAACAACCCATGGTTGCCCTAGAAGCTGGCTATGTCAATGCCTACTGGTTGATGTACACTTAAGGGCTAGCTGATGACAGCCCCTCCGACACACAGCCAATGTCCAATAGTGCTTAACAAACTGTTAACCAGATTACACTGTGACCTACATACAAAATGAAGACTTCAAAGATAGCATCTGAGTGGATTAAAGAATGAAAGGCCTTGGCACATGTATTCTGCCTAGGGTTGACGGAATGTGTATTGACCTTAATATGTCCATTATACTTTGTCTCATTACATCTTTCATGTCTGTGCAATGGTATTATTGTAGCGTGCATTTTCTATAACATGAGGTACATTCATGCAAATGTGGATTAAGGTTTGCTATTCTTAGAAAGCTCAGCAGAAAGGGTGACTGCCCAAGAGAAATATAGCTGTTAGAATTCATTCCATTATATTGGTGTGAAGGTGCCAACTACTTCCAGCAGAACATTGGTGAGATACATTTCACTGGACTTGGTGTTTGATGATTAATGGATATAGGAATATATTCAGTCAGGGTACCAACCTTGCCTTCTTTTGTTATTGCATACCAGCATTATAACTTAATAAGCTTTTGGTATAATATTTCAATGAATTTGTTTTGTTCAATGTTTTCCTTCCATCCTGTAGGGCAACTGGCCATGGAGGACAGCCCAGCATCCATGCAGTAAGTATTAACTTAAGTCCAGTATTTGAATTATTTCTACAAAATAAACATCAAAGACTGTCATTCTACATTATACAGAACACTTGTGGTACTTCACTTGTCACTTGATAACATGTATGTTAGCAGGAACCACTTTTGATATAAAATAAAAACCATGCATTCACTTAGTCTCGTTATATAATACTGCTGATTTCTGCGTCAATATGTCAGGCTGTTTTATTTTTATGAGTCATAGTATGATGTCAGTACAGACAATGTAATGGCAAATATTGGCCTGCAAGCAGCTGTGAAACTTGTGCCGTTTAATTGATTCAATCATCGTGCACACGTCCACCACATTTGGTCTTGGCTTTAGTCTTATCAGTCATGGACAGAGCCAATGCCTCCAGGCATTTTCATAGATTTAAGTCCAACATTGATAGGATCTGTGATCATGGTTGCCAAATGGTGTTCTCAATGGGTAAATGTGAACCTTTATGGTTTTTCACAAAGATGTCTGTCTGAGTCTGACCAGTTTGACCAAAAGGTCAGAAAAAAAGACTGCTTCTTGTAGGCATGTACCACTTTCTGTAACAAAATGTAAGCTGTCCAGGAAGGAATGTATTGTGTATGATTCGTTAGGACTACATGTACTACAAAAATGTATTACAGTCAAGGACAATTTTCAATGTAGATTTCCAAATATGTCCAAATTTATCTTTTCTACAATGCGAATGTTTGAATAACTGAAATGGTGTAAATTCAATCTGTACAAAAACAGATTCATGATCATCACTTTCAAATTGTAATGTACAAAATGCTCCTGAAATGGAACGACCTGGCTAAATGTATGTACAAACATCTGGCATGGATCTGTCAACAGTGGTATTATGACTTTTCTGATCAGACATGTAACTGCTGTTCCAGGGTGCTTGAGGGAAACCCAGCCCATCGTGCCATGGTGGAACGCAGACAACTTATGACAGAAATGAGTAAGTACAAATACATAGGCTGACATTTCAGCATCCCTGGTGATTTGTGTGACAGTTTAAGTTTGGTCCCTTTCATCCTCGATCTTTGTTAACTGTACTTTAAACTCCATTTATTTGTCTCCCCACCTCAGGAACACAGAACTTTGATGTGATTCGTCTGGGGACCTACCGAACAGCATGCAAGCTGCGATTTGTGCAGAAGAAGACAAACTGTAAGCAAAGTTTACTGCTAAAACCAACAGAACGTGTTTGTTACTTTACAATGTTAGATTCTACATCATGGGATTTGTCCAGAATTGTTGATGGAATAGCTGAAGCTGCCACAGACTAGAGGACTTGTTATCTTACTTGGGCACCTTGTACTGTTATGGTTACTCAGTAATACTCACATAAAATGTAATCTCCAGTTGATTTAAAAAGAGAGAAGAAATCTTCAAGACCTAGATTAGATAGAATGTATTCTCTAGTAATTCCTAAGACTTTTACTTTTATCCTCCTATCCTATGTATTATGTCACTCAGTGGGCATGAACATGCAAATAAAGATTCATTCATCCATTAATTGATTGCCACGTTAATGAGTTGTTTATTGCAAATTCATCCCCGAGGGCTAATTGCATACAGACATTGGCAAGAAAAATGTGGTGATATAAGACTATTTGCTAAAATGAAGTTCTACGTGTACGATATACTTATCAAATCTACTATCTCTACTTAAATCTAATAATGTTGGTATACATACAGGATAAACAGTAGATATGCAATATATGAACAGGTAAGAGGAACAAGGTAACTGCTATTCTAATCTATTCTATTCAATTCTATTAAACCATTCTTGCCATGCTATTAGGGGGTTTGACTTCTTCTCAGGAGGCAGTGGGAGATGAATTGTCCGACTCTTTGAAAATTGTATGGTTTCCCTCCCATCGCAGTGCATCTAGTGGACATCTGGAACATGATTGAGGCGTTTCGCGAGAACGGGCTGAACACGCTGGAGCTCAGCACGGAGCTGAACGTGTCGCGGGTGGAGTCCATCGTCTCGTCCATCATGTACCAGCTCAACAAGCGCCTGCCGTCCACCCACCAGATCAACGTGGACCAGTCCATCTCCCTGCTGCTCAACTGGCTCATGAGCGCGTACGACCCCGAGGCGCTCGCCAAGATGTCCGTCTTCTCCATCAAAATGGCCCTGTCAACCATGTGTGCGGGCAAGCTGGTGGACAAACTCAGATGTGAGGATTTTGTTTGTTTGTTTGTTTTATTGGGATCTCCATTAGTGTTACATTGACACCGTTCTTCCTGAAGTCAATACAACACAACGTAATCAAATAAAATATATTTAAATAACGTTCATACGACAAAGGAAGAATTTCAACTTAAAAAGTGTAGTGTATTCTGAATTTTCTCAATTTACAATCATTTTCTGCTATGACGTTGATAGAAAGAGTTTTTGTAAATAGAAAAAATGTGGTTGATGGAGCAACATGTAACAAAAGAAGTTTATAACCAAAGATTCTTTGGTTTTGTAACCATAAAGTCTCAGTTGTAACCTGTGTCTAATTGTGACCATATACAGTGTATCCCATCAACAGGAAACTCAAAGACTACTGTAATTTTGCATCTCTTCTTTAGATATCTTCTCACAGATCTCCGACTCTCGAGGACAGCTAGTGTACCCCAAGTTTGACCAGTTCCTGCAGGAAGCCCTGGCCCTGCCGTCAGCTGTGTATGAGGGACCCAGCTTTGGCTACAACGAGACAGCGGCCAAATCATGCTTTCAATCGGCCCAGGTACAAGACCCTGAAGTTAGTCAAACTTTTCTTATTCCTTCTTAGGCAGTAGATGGGTGAATGCAGGATGTCCATCCCTAACAACCACAGGTAATGTAACAAACAGGCCTTGAAATACCACTTCCTAACATGCATCTATAACTGCAGATCATTGCACAACATGAGTTCTGAACAAGGCATGAATTTAGCTGACCCATCCTTGTTCATACCTTGATACCTTGATACCGTCTACAGTCGAGTAAGGCTTCTTCCCGCCTGTTGTGGACTGATCTTAGACGCCTTCTTCGTACTTCAGATGCTCCCAGTGTCGATCCAATCTCGTTTTAAACTGGTTGACTGTTTCACTGGATACTACAGTCGGCGGCAGCGAATTCCAGTCTTTGCAATTGCGTATTCATCATTGCAATTTTGTACAGGTATCCAAAGTAGTTACTAACACCAGTGTAGGTACATAGTAATATTATGTCCTGTATTTCAAGGCCTGGCTTAGCCTATAACAACCACCCTGACTTAAATTAACAAGGCATATATGTATATGTGCACATATCTCTCACATGTTGGCTCACAGCCTCACACCCGTTGCAACCTTGCACAAGTCTAACCAATCCCAAATGTACCAGAATATGTGTTGTGTCACTAAATCTGAAACACTTATCTTAGTATTGGCATGATAAACACGTTTTCTTCATGTATCAACACTGATTAAATGTCATTAATAACATCCCCATGTCATTTGTTTTTGTTTTGTGTGAATGAAAATTCCTGTATGACTAAACTGATAACTGCATTAAGAAATCAAATGAGATCCAATTGATACTCATTATATATTTCATATACTCTAATATTGTTCAATGGAAAAATGTTTTAACATCACTCTTTGTTCTTCACCCTTACTGGTCAAGACTTGTGTGAGGAAAGGATGTCAACAGTTTTGTGCTCTTTTTTTACACAATATTTTTTTAAAGTTTGAAATGTAGTATCAGGGCTCAAACTCACCACATACAAACTGTAATTTTTTGCAGAAAATTCATTGCAAAAAAAAACATACTGTCAAGTTAAAATGATGCAGGTTTGTTATATTATGGATAAAATATTTCAGGAAATAGATACTGCCTGTATTATGTTTTAGACCCATGGAGAAAAAAATGCTTCTGCTTTGTACTGACAGACATTTTTCATCTCTCCTTTAGCGTGTGACCATCAATGACTTCCTGGACGTGATGATGGCAGATCCTGGTCCCCCCTGTTTGGTGTGGCTGCCTCTCATGCACCGGATGGCCAACGTAGAGAATGGTACGGTCTTCCCTCATGTCGTCTGTGTTGTTTTCAGTGCTGTAAAGATGTAAATTCACAAATTTCCTCACTCCACCCAGGTGTGAATGGGTACCTAACTTTTTTTGGTTGGGGAAAGTCGTATTGAGGTCACCTTGTGGCGCCGAATGGCAGCCGCACAGACCCTTGCGACAGTTCCACAAAATTTGTGGAACATTACAAATACATGTATGTGTATCATGTGTATTATTTTGATTGCTGTTATTTGTATTGATTATGTGATACCCTGCATCAATTCAGCCGTATAAAGGCTGCGACTGCACGGGTACTGTTTGGACAATAAAAACCTTTTTTTTTTAAATACATTTCCCCTATTAAAGAAAACCATCATATCCCATATACTCAAAGCGTCACAGTTTTGGGCCCATTTTGTCTCTTGTTGAATATGCTGATAAAAGAAAGCACACAGAAAGAGTATGATGGCCCATTCAGTTATTATACAACTGACAATTTTCTATTGGATTTTAGATTAATGACTGCTCATTCAAGATAATCGTTTACAAACTCACATACCTTTGTCTCCACTGTAGTGTTCCATCCAGTTGAATGTGCATACTGCCAACGGGAGTCCATGATGGGGTTCCGGTACAAGTGCCAACGGTGTTTCAACTACCAGCTGTGTCAGAACTGTTTCTGGCGCGGCTACACCAGCGGGAACCACACCACAGACCACGAGATGAAGGAGTATTCATCCTGGGTTAGTTCGTTAGTTATAGTTTGTTTGTTTATTCGCACATGTTTAATAAACAAATTAAAAAAATAGAATAAATATAAAATTACATAAAAGAAACCCAATGTGCAGGAGGGGGTAGGAAGCCTTCAGGGCTTGTACAGGGCTCTCCTCCTTACTAACTTAATTAACAAATGATAGTCAGCTCTTCAGGTGTTGAAGAAAATTTTTTTAATTTTGGAATTCATTACAAATATTGGCCAAATTATTAGTTGAGGAAAGGGCTGGCAAGTTCACCCTGTATGCCTCCAAAATCTTACCAAATACGGCAAGGAAACATGCTGCCCTACATGGCCCTTGGCATGAGAAGAGAAACCACCACCACCACAGAAGGATTCCACTTCTATCATGGACAAAATTATTTTTAACTATGAAAGTTTTAAATGTATTCTATTCTAGTGTGTAAAATATGATAGTGGTAAATTTTATTATCATCCCCTACAAAATGACCATAGCAAAATTTCACATCCCCAGTCCCTGCAAACACCTCATTATAATAATTTGTTGAGGTTTCTGAAAGTGTTTTACCAGGTGTTGGAGGTGTCATGATCAGCAGCCTAGTCACACAGGATGTCACCTTTGAATGCCAAGTGCAGATTCCTGACTTTACAAGCTGCGTTTTTCCGTCGCAGAAATCCCCAGCCAAGCAGTTTGGACATGCTCTGAAGAAGTCGTTCCGCTGCGTGCCAAAACACGCCGAGCCAAACCACCCCAGGTTCCCTGACGAGCCAGAACAGACCCTGGACCTCTCCAACATCGTGTAAGTTGTCACATCTGCTGATGAGGGCACTTGTACAGTACAGTTGGTAGTCCCACACCGAGTAAAGAGACTCAATGTTTTTACACAACTTAGTGTTTTATTCACAGCCGACGTTTCAGTGACCGTCTGTCACGTTCCTCAGGGCAATTCTGACTGGTTCACATTGCACTGCAGAACAGGTGTCGCTGCTATAGATGCAATCCCAAACGTAATTTGTCACATCTACTGAGGGCACGTGTACAATACAGCAGCATGGTAGTCCCACACTTTGATGGTGTCAAACACGAGGATGGATAGAAATGACAGGACTATATAGACCCTTCTCACATGTCTCAGCATGATGCCATTTCTGCCTTACCTGGTTTTAAAAAGATACATGTATAAGCATCATGACTTGTCAAGTTTTGAGGCTGTGCCAGAAAAAAACACTAAAACACTTAACAGTTACAGGAGCAAAGGGGCAATGTGACAATAACCCTTAGCAGAATGTTCCAACAAGCAGATTGATGTTGAAGAATACATTGTACTTTGCATTTGAATTTAGTAGTGATGTCAACAGATATTTTCGTGTGGTTCAGTGGATCCACAATCACTCTTGTCATGGATTATTTACGTTAGGTGCAGGTTTTAATCTTTTATGAGCCTGGAACAAGTCCAGAAATTTTGCATCAAACTAACTTCAAAAGCTTTAAACACGTTTTATAGCAAGCTATACATTGTATGCATGTAATAATGATATATTATGTACAGTAGAACTGTTTAATACTGTTGCTTTTATTGACAAGCAGCTTCTGTGGCTAATTTATCTGTTCTGTGAAATTTCAGGCCACCCTCCCCACCCCCAGCTCTAGCAAATGAGTCAGCCCTAGCCACCAGTATCTCTTCAGAGCACACCACACCTACAAAAAGGTAAGTTTTTTTTGTATTTAGGTAAGGGAGTAGATGTACAATGTAAAGTTTACTCAAGGATTTTGAGAAATATCCATCCATTTGTAAATATCATTCAAAAGTTGAGCAAAATTTTCCTTTTGTGATATGCAAAGGTAATGCACATTGACCACTGTAATTGCAGTGCCCGTGATTTCAATGTTGTCACAAGTAAGAAAACTGGAAAGCATATCTTCACAGCATGTTCCAGGCATCCTGGAATTCAGTTAAAATTTATTGGTCCAGGTCACATACTGTGCATATTCTAACTGAGAAGGCATGTCCTGTGTTTTCACATAGTTTGATCATAGGTGAAGCATTGTCGTTGGCGTACAGTCCTCTTTAGCTACTGCTACATGAAGTTTTTAAAAAGAGCAAAAGTGACAACCCACAAGTAATACTTTGCTTCTTTCCACAAAATGTTGGACTGAAAAACAGGCCAGACAATACCCCACTCAATTAAGAGGCTTTCATTAAAGTTTAAAAAGTTCCAGGTACAACAGGAATGTACATGATACTGTGGCTTGACTTCCTACAGACATGTACATCAGACTGGTTGCTTGAGAATATCTAGAGAATTGATTAATGTACAAAACTTTTCAAATGTCAAATGTGAGCACATTTTTCACCCTCTGCGCGTATCAGGTAAAATACATGAGCACAATTACCATGCTTCTTCCATCATCCATCATATGTCAGTGGTCTGTCACAAATTTTTCTGGCCGTCTTGGTCTCTTGGGGTGGCTGGAAAAGGATTTGGAGCATTTCATCCTTGTACTCCGTGTTGTGAAACATTTCCAGGTCAGACAGCCAGGCACCAACTCACATTCATATAGCTCCAGATATGTCTTGCCGTGTCCCTGAACCAACACTTAGGTTAATCAAACCAAAAACATACAGACATTGGGTACTCTTGTCCTGAGCACATGATGGTGAGTTGTAACTTTGTGGATGTAAGGCAACTTCAGGAAATCCTCTGCATCTTTGCGTCTCCATATACAAGTATGTACCAGATGAAATGTTACTGTTAACTTTATAGCAGTATTCTTACGACATATGTATGTATACAGAGTGAGGGGATGTTTATTTTCTATGAGGTTGATCAATGACTTTCTTATGTAAACGACATCAGTCATATAGAGTTAAAAGCCACAGTTATTCCGATGACACGAAAGAGGTGTCTTCTTTCACATTTGCTATTTTAAGATCTCTCTATAATTTCCTGATTGAATCATTGGATAAGGATGATACTAGCCCTGGCAGTCAATCTCTCTCTTCAGCAAAAATGATAGGAACTCTCAATTGCCTGTACATGTACATGTATTTGGCTGAGCTATTGGTCCCTGTTTCAGTATTGGCACAGTTATAGAAAAGTTAACTGTCTGTAGCTACCTCACTACAACTGTGCAGCCTCTTTGCTCTCTTATTCTTCATTTCTTTGTCCATTCCATCCCACCCCATTCCCCTGTGCTGAAGAGTACCTGATGTTTACCAACCCAGGATTGCCTCGTCTCCGCCCAAGTTGCGTATACAGAGGAAGTGAGGCCTGTTAAACTGTCTGAAGGGTGATTCCCCCTGAGACTTACCGGCTGTTCAGTCCCCCAAACCATTAACTGCATTCTGCCGTTTGGTTGAGCTTGTGAAGACATTGCATTTTCCCTGTACCTGAAGATACTAGTAACCTGCCATGTTGGAGTGTTGCATGACCATCAGTACAGTTGCAAATTGTACAAAATATTTGTAGTTATAGTCCTTGAAACAGCGACATTCGTACATGATGTGTAGCATGTCTTTTTATCAGCAATACTCCTTTGTAGACTCAGAAGCATGATTTGTGACTGCATCTTCAGTGCCCATCGATCCATGCTCCATGATCACTTGTAGCATGCAGGAAATGCAGCCATCGATGCCCACTTCCGAGTGACAAATGTTGTAACAAACAAGAGATCAGTACTCTGTGCATCTGTCAGTTGTATACTTCCTGTGCGTCAAGGCATTACTTTCTACATGTTTGTCACTGCTGTGAGAAGCACTATTCAGTGTTAATGCTGATATATTTGTATCCCAGTACATACCGGGGTATGTAGTTTGGAAGTGCCATCAAGTAGCCTGTTTACATCTTACTGCTGTTGATTTTGTATGTGTATGATTCAAATGCATCCAGCCTGATTGAAGACTGAGATATCTGATTCACATGTTATGTACAACTGCAGAGCCTTCCCAGTGGACACCATGGACTCCACTACTCGGATGGACGACGAACATCGCCTGATCGCCCGTTACGCAGCACGCTTGGCCGCGGAACAGAACGAGCAGGTAGGCTTCCATGTAGCAGTCTTTCCAGCTGAACTTGTTTGTGTGAGACCTTAAACTCTTTGTTAGTCCTGAAGTCCAAACATAAGAAGTGTAGTTAAAGTCCCTAGTTATCTCCAAGTGTACTGACTGTATAAGGTCACCTAAGGATAGTAGAGAGGTTTGGTTAAGGTCTATTCCTTCTCCCTCTGGCTGTTGAACTTTTGAACTACCCCCAGTAGTAGGCTAAGAGATACAGAGACTCCCCTATTTCGTACCTAACAAGATTACTCAATAGCTGTTAATAGAGCTAAATACTACCGATTTTCCTTGTCCAGAATTCTCCTGCAATCTTTAATCCTTTCAATGCCACTCTCCCAATGAAATGTGCGTAGTTTGTTTGATTTTAGAACTACTAGTAATCGAAATTGTTGTTGTCTTTTTTAAATATCGAAATGTTCAAAGAAAATGATCATATATGGATTCCCTAGTACTTTTAATGCCATTTCTCTTAATGAAATGTGTGTAGTATTTTAGATTCTAGAACTAATTGATACTGAATTTGTCTGCTCTTAATACTTGACTTTTTGAAAGAAATTGATCATATGTGGAATTATCGCAAATTTAGTTTACAATTTCCGTAAATTATCGTAATCTGTGTAACACCTTTAATTTGGATGTGATTCAGATAGAGACATTTTGTAAGTTGTACGTAATTCAGCCAAGTGGCTGCGAGGTATCAACTGAAATAAACCATTCATATATATCTTTCCATCTTCAAAGATGATGGTAGCACTCTAGGCTTGGTGTTGTGGCCGTGTGCAGTGTCTAGTGTTGCTAACCGTATCTTCACATGGCAGTTCCAGCAACAGTTGGGACACAAGAAGATTGCATGAAACAATGCATAATGAAAATGTCCCTTGTCAGTATCCCTGTAGTTCTCACCATAGGAAGGTGATTTCACACATGTTGTTGTTTCCTCCTACATGTAGAACACGACTCCTGTGGACGTGAGCCCGTTGTTACACCAGTCCCGCAGTCCCGGGACGGAACTCGCCCTGAACCTGGATGCCAACCGGCAGCAGCGGGAACTCATTGCGGAGCTGGAGCACAAGAACAGGTGGGGGGAGATTCACACACATCACAGACGGATGCAGTGTCAGCATTTAGCCAGCTTTAAAATCATACATTTGTATGTCACAGATGTCAGCATTTAGCCAGCCTCTGAGGTCAAAGAAATTTTGACGAAAATGAATTAATGCTATAAGATTTACTGAGGAGTTCCTGTTGCAAGCTGTTACAGAAACAGACAAATAGAAAAAGAAAAGAAAAACATTCAGGCTGGCTAGAACATTGCTGCTGATGGTACTCTGGTACTCCTATGAAATGGGAATGAAGAAGAAAGTTATTCCAGAAAAATGGACTGAAATCAGTAAGTCTGGATAAGGGTGCTGAGTATTTTGTATAGTTAAGATTAAAATGCAGTGATTTACAATGATCCTGCCTTAGCTAGTTACTTGTAATTTAAATCACAGCTTCTGCTTCAAAAGCCAAACCTGATCAATAGAAGTGGCTGTCCCTCATTTCTGTGTAAACCCTCCATGTCTTCATGTGTGTGAAACATATGCAGTATCCCTTTAGGGTTCCATAGGCCAGCTGCACATGTATACATGTATAAAAGATGTAAAACCACTTGTTCTGATCCCAACATTTGTTAGGATTCAAGTTTCACTCCACCTGTAACAAGTGTTACTCCCATACATGTAGCAGTGTCTGTCTGTTTCCCAGACTCCCTGCATGCATTTTCAGGGCTCCACATACATCGTAGAACTTAATATCATTTTCTACATCTCTCAAAGCCAGAAAATGAGCCATATGTCCACTCATCTGTACATATTGATGTGTATTCCCCTCCATTATTTTCTTACAATGTGGACAGTCTAGGCCTGACTTAAGTTACTACAGCTACAGTAAAGGATGCTTACAGTTAAAGTAGAATAGGAATGTGATTGGTGTCAATACTAAATAGGTGTCCATATATCAAAATTAGATTACAACATATACAGCTAGATTTTTAACAAGATTGATAACATCCATCATAAGAAAGGCCAAGAATTCTTGAGTCTCTCTCACGAGCTGTTCTTCCTGACTGGAGTTGTTTGTGCGTGTACCCCCAGCCCCCGCGAGGTGGCTGAAAAACTGGCCCAGTGGCTGAGAGAACAGACTGATCTCTTGTCAGAGTGTCAGCACAAGAATAGGTAGGCTGCCAGTCTGGTTCCACTAACAGAGTGAGCAGCCTATTAAATCAATCATAGAAACCCGCTGACTTCCCCTTTTTTTGCATTCAGAGCTTTCAGGACTGGAACGTTCCCAGGAAGGAGAGTTTTCTCTCTTGCAAAGGCACTAACCATTCCAAGCTGGTGCTAACAACCTTCTACATTATACAGTGATAAAGGCTTTTTATGCCCAGGCTTGCATGGACTGGCTTTCTGGTGCATGTTGAGCTTTAGGGTATCATTTTGCACCTTGGCAAGGATGTACCTATACAACATATCTTGGGGAAGAAAGCAGAAAAAAAAATCATTACTAGTACTTGTAATTGGGTACAATACTACACTGTGTTGCTTCAAAGCTGGTTCATAAATTCTGTGCCAGGATATCTGGGGCTGAGGTTTACTTTATCAATATTAAAATTTGATGGAATTTAATATTCTTTGCATTGAACTAGTGCTGTCAGAAAATATACAAAATGTTGTTGTAGTCTTTACTTCCACCAGTAGTACTCTGTAAAATATTGTATTCTTCTGTAGTATCAATGGAGGTTGCAGCACTTCACACATTTCTCCAAGGAGGGCACAGTACTTCATACATGTATAGCTTGTCCTTGTAAGGATGTGTACCTGTTTAGATATCACTACTTCCTACTATTTAACAGCAGATTCCATTATTTAGTCAGATTTGCCTTTCTCCTATAGGTTTGACCTTCTCATCCTTTCAATAGGACCTTACATAATGTATGTCCCATCAGACAGCAGTCACATAAGTGCTGGGTGTGATTAAAACTACCCCCCCCCAATATAATCAGGAGAGTAGATTGCCATGGAATTTCATTATCATACCATTTTGTGTGGAAAATCATACTCCCTGAAAAATAAGAAGAGTGGCCTGTTATCATGTGTGGAGCCCTGAAGGAAATGTGTGACATTCAAGTAATACTAATTGTGTTCAAGTGAATACTGATGAATACAATCTCTGCAAAAGGTGGAGGAGGAATTGTACATGTAGCTCTGTTTTTAAAATTCCTAATGCTGACGTCTGCCAATAAAAAGCTGTCTCGCAGATAAGCCCTCGGCAGGGAGAATGTTAAAATCTCAGTTGTAAGGAAGAGGTTGGGAACAATGGCAACGCTATTATACTGAAGTTTGCTAGAATAATGGTAATATATTTCTTGAATGAAATGTTAGAATTTCAGCTGTAAGAAAGAGATTGGGAATGAATAAATAAATGGCATCACCGTCAGACTGCAGTTTGCTAGACTAATGATAACATTATACGTGTTACTTGAATGTGTTCCTGCAGAGAGATCATGCGGGAGATCCAGCGTCTGCGTCAGGAACATGACGAGGCGTCTCGGGGCATGGATGAGTCACGGAACCCGACACTGCTGGCAGAACTCAGGCTCCTCAGGTACTCACTATCATCACAGACACGTCTTAGTGTGAAAGACCATGCAGAACCTAGTAGAAAACATATTGTACAGTTCTTGATCCAGCACAAATAAGGAAAACAACTGAATTTTCTCTGTTTTGGTCGAAAAAAACTGTCTTAGTGTGAAAGCTCATGCAGAACCTAGTATAAAACATGTTGTACAGTTCTTGATCCAGCACAAATGAGGGAAACAGTATTTTTGAATGAATTTTCTCTGTTTTGGTGGAATGATCACACTCTCACCATTCGGTTTATCATCTGCTGTTCCCCATCTTCCAAGGGTTAGTCATTCTTGCTGATGCTGAGACTGTAAAATATGATAAACTCGGCTCCTATATTTTTACCTTCTCCCAGCTTTATGTATCTCATGCTTTAATGAATTAGCCCACAATGGGGAGAAAGAGCATGTTGGCAGAATGTACTGAAACCTGGATTTTTCATGTTTTTCGTCAAATTTTTAGTCAGCGTTGCATCAGAATTTTGCCTATTGCAGAATACATATTTTCCGACTTAACATTTGGAAACTACAGACAGGATGTTAACCTTACATGTATTTGCGCAAATACATGTACGACCTTATATGAGACGTTCTGACGAAGTGCTATGCACAATACATTATGGCAGGCACAGTACGTTCTGCCGACGTGCTGGGAGAAAGTTGACAGCTGCAGTAGTACAATGTGACCATAAGTTCTTCTGTTGTCCCGCAGGCAGAGGAAGGATGAGCTGGAGCTGCGGATGTCTGCCCTGCAGGAGTCCCGCCGGGAGCTGATGGTGCAGCTGGAGGGGCTCATGAAGCTGTTAAAGAGCCACGGCAGCTCCCCCACCCCCCGCTCCACTCCAGGGGGGTCACCCCTCACAGGTCTGACTACTTTACAGTCCAAGTACATAGAAGCAGTACAAAAGAGAGCGTGCAGGATAATCCTAGGCAGAACCTACATGTATGTTAGCTATGACAGAGCAATAGAGCTACTATCACTTACACCATTGTACCTGAGATGCTGTAGCCTCTGTGAGAACTTTGCAATGTCGATAGCTACATGTAAATCCCCCAACTTCTTTAGTTGGCTACCTCCTAAACATGGATGCCTACATGAAATCAAAGGACAACTTTATGCAGTTTAGCTGCAGAACGTCAAGGTTTTAGAATAGTGTTTTAACTTTTATTGTTAAGTTGATGAACAATTCATGATAAATTTTAATGTGTATCATGCCCCAATTCAGCCATGTAAGGCTGTAATGGTATGTGTGGTGTAAATAATAATAAATAAACCAGTTCATCATCATCATCACAGGTAGTGCCAAGTCGCCCCCTGCCCCTCCCCCTCGCACCACCCCCTCCACGCCGGGGTCGGACAGTCTGAGCGGGGTGGGCGGCGACGTGCGGCAGGCCTTCGGGCCGGGCCAGACCAACTCGGGGAGAAACCTGCGGAATGACCTGCTGGTGGCAGCCGACTCTGTAACCAACGCCATGTCATCACTGGTCAAGGAACTCAACTCAGGTGGGCTGTGTTAGAGTAGCTAGGGTGAGGAGGCAATCTGGAAATGTAAATAAAAGTTCTGACCAACGAAGCATTTCAGAATCTGGAGTTACAATTAGGAGGTGTACAGATTAGACCTACAGTTTTTAGAGTGTCAAACTATAATGATATTGGATATAGGAGTTCTCTTTTACACAACCAAATTTGTCTTGCCTAGCTTACGTTTCGGTGTCTATCAGACACGTCCCTCAGAGCTTCTGACTTCTGTTTCTTGACGCTATATGTACACAATGTACATATAGCCGATGTAGGTGGCACTTTTCAGAAGTTTCATTCATGATGATATTTTTGGAACTTCATCGTACATTTCTTGCTAATTATCATTTTTTGCACTGTTCTGCTCCTGTATACAGAAGCTGAAGACAGTGATGAGGAGGACGACAGGCAAAACGGCTCCATCACGGAGGCGGAGACCCTGCCTCGGGAGAAACGGGGCGCCCTGATGGGGAAACACGGGAACGGGCGGAGTCACGGGCCGCAGGGGCAGGACGCGGACTTCCTGGGACGGACGGACGACGAGAGCGTGGATCCCTCGGGGACTGACGAGGACAGCTACATCAGAACCACAGACGAGGAGCGGTGGAACCGCAACACCACGGACGATGAGATGTTTGAGAGAGAGCGTCAGGTGAGCTGATGGGGGGAGAGATTTCTTTCCAGCTTCAGAATTCTGCTTTGAGGGATAAAACTATCTTACCTTATATAAATGCTGTGCTAAAGTCCCGCAAGGGACATCATGCTCAGTAACGAAAAGGTGATCGCCCAAGTGCGGCCGGTGGTGTGGGTAGTGCAAAACAGGAAAAACAAGACAAAACCAATAAAGACTTGATGCGAACTAATAATCAGAATCTAGTGCAAGAAACTAAGTTGCAATTTTACCTGCGTCATTGGCAAATATTGAAAAGGATTATGACTGGTTGGGTGCAAAAATGTTGCTGTATAGTAAAAAAAGAAAAGAGTAATGGTATTTGATGGTGAGTGGCATTGTATGTATTATATACATAATACCATTATAACAAAACTTTACAAGGTCAGTGTGTTACAAGGACACAGCCATTAGATGTTTAATAACCAGTTTGATTGTTTGAAGTCTTCTGTCTCATCTTCTCTTCACTGTGTCTCTCTGATTTCCTATCATGCTGTCTGAATTAGGGAGGCCACCAGTACACTTACACCTTCTAGGTAAGTAAATTATGGAAAGTGTTTGCCAGCTGCCTCCTCCCCTTGCTCCTGTACTGCTCTGCTCCAGAGTTGTGGCTGCAACTGCAAGTTTTCGTTGTGCATGAGTTTGAACCTTGCTGCATTCTTGACATGGAGTGATGTATGATTGATTGTACATTGTTACAACTGTTTTGAACTTTTACGTACTGTCATTAGCAGTAACCCCTTTTTTGTCAGATTCCTTGTATGTATGGATAAATATTGAAATATAGAATTTGGATTTTGCTTGTAACTATTCTCTGCAAGTATAAAATGTGCTTTAGACTGATAAAGTACTTAATTCTACGTCCAGCCTGAAAAAAGCCTGCTTCTTCAATTGCTTACTTGCATACAATGTACATGTACTTGAGCAGTAAGTGCATAAAATCTGATGACAGTGTGTTTCAATGGGTTGTTGTATGTCATATGGAGATTTACAATGTATAATGTGCTGTGTGAAGTATTGTGTAACGTTACATGTTTTATCCCTAAAAGTTGACAAATCCCTATGAGCCTGGATGGTGTTTAGTGGAAGAAACCTGCCTGACTGTTTTTTCTAAGTTCCTGTGTGCCTAAGCCTTACAGCTTGCATGCTGTGACGTCTATACATACCGAGTTCCCACAAGTGCCGTTTCCCCCAGCCCTATGCTAAGCAGGAATGAACTTTTAACATCGTAGCCACTTTTAATCAGGCAAAAGCAGCTATGTGATCAATCAGTCATTATGCACATGGTACCGAGTGTATGATTAGTAATTGTATAGGCCAGAGGGGTACTCATGTACGTGCATTGTTCAGCCATCTGTCTTGACAGCTTCCGCTTTCCAGATAACAAAGTAAACCCTCAGGAATAGTAGTACGTATTTAGATACATTAAATTGTCACTTTTATGGGCGGGAATGACTTTGTTCTTAGGGAAAAGCAATTTTGAAACAGCATGTGTTCATGCACATTCCCAAACCAGTAATGTATACTTAATACTTCTGGCATTTTCTGTGTATGGTTCACCTAGCAAGTGCTCGTAAACTGTGATGCTATCAATTACTGTGGAACACTGCCTTATATTTTAAGTGTCCATAATGCAAAGATAACATTGAACATGTGCATCATGCTTTCCTTTCTGTTACAAGTGGGATATATAATTTGTGTCCTGATAGACTAGTCATGCACAGAACATGACAAGTTGTAACACATTAGATATTTATGTTTACTGAAGGAAAACATATTGTTTTTGCTCTGTTTCCTCTTCTTCTCCAAACCAAAAAGGTCAATGACCTGAACCAGACTGTCTGTCACCATGGTAACTAGTGTTGGGTTACTCATGTTGCAATTTTATAGCAGAAGGGATTAAGGCGGCACAACACAGTATTAGCCCTATGGGAATTTCTATAGTTAAGGACCCCAAAGTGACTCACTTCGACTCACGGAAAATCATACTAGGGTGCACAAGAAAGGTTCAGAATTTTGATATGTTTAATTTCAGGGTATAGTGTACAAAATATGTGAAAATGAGCTTAAATTTGCCGGCTAGTTCTCTTCTCGCGCCCTCTTTTATTAGCGCCACTGCGGAGGTCATGGAACTGCAGCCGACGCACAGTACTAGGCGGGACAAGTATCCGAGCGCAAATGTACTCCGACTAAACACGCACCATAATCCAACTTTTACAGTCTCAAAACTGACGTATTCCTCTAACATTTACCACAGGTTCTGTCTCGATGCCATGCACAAAACAATCTCTGCACCCTTCCCTAGTATTGTGTAGCACTACTTTGTGCCCGGACTACTTTTGACTACGGGGTTCGCCCATGAATACTGTGTTGTGCGGCCTTAAGACTCCCGTCACCTTAACAAAGTTTACTGTCACATAATATGTGTTTACTGTCACATAATATGTGTTTGAGTAAGAATTAACAGAGCAGACCATATGCGAAAGTAAACATGATGCATTGGCTTTGCAAATGTCACCTTTCTAGTTGTGCTTAGATTTTTGCTGATCAGAAGTTTTTCTCTCCACCCCTTGCAGCGGGGGATGAGACTGAGCACACAGACAGACGAGGAGAGCTACGTGCAGACTGACGACGCGGAGAGTTACATCCGGACAGACGACGAGGACGGGGGCACCGACTGGGAGGAGACCATGCGGCGCTGGGTGACTCGCTAGATTACGGCAGAAGGAGGGAACGAAAGAGATAATGTTGGGAGGGTTTTATAAACTTCAGCCAAACATAAGGATCAAAAGCCAAAGTGACATGCCCATATTTATATTCCCACAGCATGGAGCCTATATTATTGTGTTAGAAAGAAGGCTGTATTTTAGTTGTGCATCATATTATGATATACACAAGATAACTACATGCTGCCATTCTTTAGCCATCACCTCATGTATACAGTATACCAGCAAAGCTTATTTCCAAATACCTCTCAGACTTTGCCTTAAGTTAGGAATGCAGCTACTTTATATCTTGAATAAGACCTTTCTTCTTTGCTGTAATCAGTAGCATGATTAGTTCATTACTGCCTATTAATTAAGCTGTTTTTAATCACTTTTGAATCCTTGCCTCAAGCAAATGATCAGCCAGATTATGCCACTAAAACCGTATGTAAAACCAACATAGATTGGACAGAAGATTTCCTTTGCCAAACATGTACATGCACTAAAAACTGGCTAATCTGTCAGAAATACATTATTTGAGTGACTGTATTTCTTGAGATGTCTCATCATACTTTTATCCTTTCAGCAAAATTATATCATAGATTAATATTTCACTCCAGGTTGAGTTATTTTTAGTTGGAAGATAAGAGGTAGATGAGCTAAAGAGCAAGAGGGGTGCATGGAGACTATAGGAAAGTGATTTTATGGCGTTGCAAGAAAGGGGAGGAACAAAGTCAGGGATGATCTTGTGTTCGTAGGCTATGGTGTCAGTGGTACGTCAGTACATGTAGGTGACTGTAACACAGACCACATTCAACGTCTTACCCAAGAAATACTAAATGTTTATGTTGTAGAACCAAAGCATAGCATTTATTAGTACCAAAGGCAAAGTTGTAAAGATACTGTCAGTCATTGATATTCATTTGATCTTAATGCTGCTTGTGATACAAAATGTAGCACTGACATTGCTGTAACCATTTTGAAATGTAACTTATCCCACATCGAGCAAGAGATCAGTTGTTGATACTATAATGATCAGATTGATCTTCAGATTCTTTTCTTACAAGGAATAGTGGAAAATGTCACCACTAATGTTGATAATGCCTCCAAACTTCAGAATCTTAAGTTACAGGCAGAAACCTGGTGGCTGCAGCTACTCTCACTTAGTGATGCATACCTGTTCACTGGACTTGGATCCGGACTTGTGTAAGAATGTTTAGGTTCAAGTCCAAAAAAACCTAAAAGTCAAGAACCGAGTCCGGACTCACTACCATAAATGACCATTTCACATACCCCTTTTCTTTCCAAACCACCTGAAACCTTCGGTAGATTGCAGAATCTGTGCTGCAAAATGAAGAAAACATTGCCATCGGGCATCGCCAAGTGTCGGCCTCCATGTTATGTGGCCAAAGTTTCACCCGGACAACATTGCAAGGTTGCCAACATGCAATATTGTATATGCCATGGGTTTAGGTCCGGACTTACAAGTCCGGAACTGAACCTAAACCTCTGGACTTGAATCCGGACCTGAACCTAAATGTGGGTTTAGGTATGCAGCACTACTCTCACTTGTTACTTTCTCCGCCATCCATCAAAGTTCTCCTTACTTTGACATTGTTTTACACTTTCTCCATAAGTTATGATGCTGGGTGTTTCATTCTCTACATAAATGTAACTAACAGGACCTGTACATGCACCAATTTGTGCTGTAACAAGTATTGAGTACAAGGAAGGTATTTTAACGTATTTTAAAATGTACCGGTATTGTATGTAAAGCTGTGCACTTGTTTTTTGTACAGTCGTTGCTGTGCTTGTAGCAAAGAATTAATTTTCCACGCTAAAGATGCAGTTGTAGCACTTTTGTGTATTTCTGTAGCATGTAGCAGTTCACCCATGCTGCCTTTTGTACTATAGGGACCACTTATATTTTCATTGATGCAGTATATCTTCCACTCAAAAGCAACATTGTAGCTCTACCATCTATTGCTTCCCTCATAACATCCATCTCTACACAGACATGAACAATGGTGTATAGTTCCATAAGGTAAAAGCCGACAACAGACTGCAACTGGTATAATTGTGTTCCCAGAATTGCATGGCCAACGAATGACATTGCTTTTACGTCATGCTTGGTACAAGGAACTTTTCTTAGGGATAGGCATTATACTGCACAATCAAATCCACCAACAGTCAGTTATGAAACTTTTTTTTTTGTTTCAACTTTTGTGCAACGCTCAACGTGACATAAATGCTACCTCCCTCTATAGTTACCAGGCTTGTTTTGTCGTCCCAGGACTTGCCCTTAATATTTCTACCAATGTCAATTTTATATTTTTTTTCTTTATATTTTTTACTCAGATTTTGTGTCCTCAAGCTTTATTCAATTGAATTGATATGAATGTAATTCATTGAATCTTACATGGAAATTCATAGCGCCTCCAAGCGAATTACACATAACTGACAAGACTGATGAGCCTTAATTTTTGTTGCCATGACAAAATTTCTACCGGCAACAAATGATGTTCTTGTAAATCCAGGTACAGTGTATGAAGATTACTGTGGCCTGTTGTGTAGAACAGAACTGATGAAGGTAGCATGTACATGTACCCTTGGTGTGCTTGTATCATTGAACTAAAGCCAGGCTTTACCACAGTGATGGGAACATCACACAGTGGATGTTTGATATCACAGGCATCCTGAGGGTAAGATCAGCAACTGGTCTCAAGTGATCAGTGTCAATGCATATCATTTACCCATCAAAGTGCAACTCACCATTTACCAATAACTTGTAACATTATGTATATCTTCACTCAGTAATGTTAAATGTTCGATAAATGTTCAGCCATTATGATGGCTGATAATTATAGCTATGTAATCACCATTTTCCTGTAGTGATGTACTGTACATGTAGTGGTTAAATGTTTTGCAGTTACTAGTATTGTGGCAATAGAAACCATTATGGTGTAGCCTCAATTTTATTGTTATTCCAAAAAATAGATATTCCATGTAATAAACATCCTAACAAGTGCATTTTTGTTTCTCTTGTAATTGTCTCTGTGCTACTACCCCCTTCACCATCCAATCTCTCATGTCCTCATCCAACAGGGCATTTGCACTCACAGCTAACTGAAGTATTCTAGGCCTAATCTCCAAGCAGATGATATGGTGGCAAGGCAAAGGAGCACCATGGCCAATGGATACTGCCTTGCCACCGTATGATCTGCTTGAAGATTATTCTAGTCCATGCTGGATGGTTAAACCTGGAACTTGCCAGATAAATTTGAATTTGTAAATGCAGTATCGAAATAATCATGACACTAAAAAGCAACCACACGTGCACATTGTACAAGTCATGTAACTTTCATATGGCTGATTTATTTCCTTCACATTTTACACAAGGAATGTTATATGAGCACTGCACTTTCCCACTATCAGTTTAGGAATAAAACATCAAGGAAATGTCTATCTTGTTTCCTGTACATCACTGTGATTGGTTTAGCCATATCCAGTAGCTGTTCACCATAACCAATCACGTGTGATAAGACAGGAAACCATACACTCTCTATATAGACAAAAGCATACAACTTGCTTTAAAACCAAGCAAATTAATAATAAAACCTAACTCAAGATCCTAGGAATGAATTGTCACACTCTGTGCAAGGAACAACTGCTGGTCTTCCATACAAGTATGGCAGATATTAATACAATCATTGACTGCTAGTCTTTTGCTTTACCCTGTGGAGTGTGCTCTGAGGACCTGACACATCATTTTAATTACGCAAAAAAGATCCAAGCAAAGAACACTATGCAGTGATAATAGAATAATAAACTTATTTTTCAACACTGATAAACACTGAAAACATTTGATTACTAAGTAAATGAAATGGTGCACTGTTTCAACTGCTATCAATATGAAACCCCTCTTCAAAGTTGATTACTAAGATAGCAACATCATGGATGACGTCAGGGTTAGGTGGTCCAGCCTAACGGGCCATGCTTTAGGGATTACAGATTTTTGTTAGTTATTACATTGTATTGATTTAGTAAGCCATAACTGACATATCCATCCATCAGATAAAACCAAATAAACAATACAAGGCATCTGACCACCCGTTATGACCAAAACTACACAGGACATTTAAAACTTCTGAATGGCTTGGCCGAGATCTAACATAGGCTTAATATCAGTCTCATATAGTCTATCCATCAAGATTATAACTAGGCATTTATACATATGTGTGTATATTTCATTCTGCTGAAAATATCCTCTGCTTTTCCCCAACATACAGCATTCTTTTCTGCATAGAACATTTGAGAACACTTGATAGTGGATGGGCCCTACAATAAGCATTAAAATCCATGTAAGCAATCTGGCTCCAGTCTATAGTGCTAACATATCACAAACAATTCATGTTGCATGCACCAACTTGACCCTTCAATATTTCTGAAAACATCACCATTTTAACCTTTACAGAACTACCACATCATTTTCTGAATGTTCAAGTTTCTATAACATCTGTAACAAGCCACTGCTTGCACAGTAAACTTCTCTTTGCAAGTGACACAAACAGATACATGTATTCTAACAATGGTGCATCTGACCAGCTGTAAGATATATGTGTAATAGTTTAATGATGCAGCATGTGATGGAGACAAGGGAATCATAATTTGTATTTCATAACCTCTTACTATACTACACATTAATGCGTAAAAGTTAATCTGCCCCCCATAATATTTACTTACCTGTCACCTCTTTGATTTAACGTTTTGTGAATGTATTTCATGTTGTCCATGTTATTTACTCAACAAGTACTGCACAACCAAATGCCTGTCTAGGACAGTTAAAGCTCCAATGCTTACAATACAATATGTTTTTAAAATACTCGGTAGAACCTTTGGTTTCTTCACAATGACTCCGGGATCCCTTTTTTCCACTGAAGGCTACCAAAAAATAGAGTTTGAAAAGTTAACATACATATTGTCTTCATTAACAACCTCCTGCAGTACAGCCCAGCTACCGAGAGGATGTTGCAAGGAAAGCCAACTCAATAAACATAAAATTCAGAAAAGAGATGTCATGTTGTCAAGTCTTGCACATCTACGCAGGTGCCCCTTCGTTCATGTTTTCATTCTTCAGGATGAGGATGGAGTTGTAGATCTTGACGGCAGGGCCAAGCTTGATGTTCATGATCTTCACTATATCTGCCTGGTTCAGCAGCAGGAAGGCCTCCCCATCAATTTGCTGAAGGAAGAAACAGACATACACAGCTTCGTAAACAGGGTTATAATATGTACTGAGTCGCCTAAATACATACAGTATCACTCCGGCATATCTTAAGTCTCTGCAAAGTAACCCTTTTCCACATGCTTTCTCTGTTTAGCACTCAACATCTAGAAGAAAGAGTATGGGAGGGTCAACACACAACACTACCAGCAGGCTAGACCCCTGCTGTAGTGCTTGCACAACTCTGTGGCCCAAGGGCTACATAAATGGAGATGGGTGCCACACCCCTATGCTCTACACAGAGTGGAATGGGACCCTTTGTCTGCCTACCTCATCCTTGAAGACATTGCCCATCTCCTCACAGCCTGGCAGTGTCTTCACAAAGTCTGCCACCTGGTCGATGGTCCACTTGGAGATGTCGCTACCCTTCAGACTGGCGACGCCCGGCAACAGCTTGACGTGCTGGTCCCAGCAGAGTGGCAGCTCCTTGGCTGGATACGGCGTCATGGCAGACATGAACACGGACTGGTGCACCGTGTGCTGCAGGCTGTTCTCCGAATCTGTTAAAGTAAGGTGGGATTCTTCAGGGTGAGGCAAAATCATGCTTCAATACTTGCCTGCCTACGTGCTTAGGCCAGGGTCTGGCCCCTTGCTCCCCCTCTTCTGGTTTCTCCAGCCAGCTCTATCCAAGGCCATAGATGCAGCTTTTCTTAGGGTGAGCCCTGTGTCTGTTTCTATCTGGTGGGTGGTCTTCCCCGGGGTCTGGGTTTTTTTTAACTCCTGGCGGTATGCCTTATGAACTAAGGTGTTTGCCGGTCTTCCCATCATACTACTTGATGGCACATACTTTCTACACTTACGTATGATAATCATGTAATACAAGCCCATCTGGAACAAACCACATACCTTTAGCCTTCTTGTTGTCTGCCTTGTCAGGAGAGCTGCTGGAAAGTCTTCTAAATCTCCCTGAATTTATTATTCTGCAAGCAAAACAGAATGGCAGGGGATTGTGTTACGTTGATGTAAAGTGATATGGGAATGGGAAGCACAAAACACAGAAAGATTTAGTATAACAACGTCTGAATAATGTAACTTTTCAGGAAACTGGCATGTTGATTTTTTTAATGTGCTTGCTATATGCCATTTTTTTTTTTCTCCTTAGATGTTTTCATACTTACTTTCTTCTACCTCTGCCTCTTCCAACACCTGCAGATGAGACAAAAAAAAAAGAATTAAAGATACATTGTACATGTACAAGAGAAGAAAGGGGTTGTTGCATCTCAGACATACATGTATATGCAGGTCTCATCAAACTTGCAACCATTTGCTTCAAAATTTCTTCTTTTTTTTCAAGACCATCATGTTTCTAACTTGTTGTGAAACTGTGGTTGTTAACTTCTCACCTTGAGTGGGAATGTGAAACTTCTGGTACTTCTGCTCGACCTTCTGCGCAGCCAGGGCGAGCTGCCGGGCGCTGGTGACCTTGACCTTCATGTTCTGGTGAGCGAGCGGACAGCCGGAAACACGGTGATGGGCCGTGTACTTCCCTGTCACGTGGCCTGATCCATCACAGCCGGGGGTGGGGCATTTCCTGCGGAAACACAAGAACAACGTGGTATGAACTGTGGGGTCGTGTGGAATAATGGCAGAGCATTCGGCTCAGAAACAAGAGGTCCCAGGTTCGAATCCACCCAAGTCACCAACCTTGTGCCCTTGGGAAAGGCACTTTACACAACTATCCTCACTTCACTCAGGTGAAAATGAGTATGCCAGAATGATCATTATTGGAAGGAAAAGAATACAGGAAAACCAATTACAATGTACATGTACATTTACTGATTCATAAACAAACATCAGTAGATATTGTGCAACAACAGGAGAGATATGTTAAGTACTTTCAATCTCTTAACATGTTAGGAATTTCATTCTGCAAGGAGATTTTGAACATACTATCAAGGTACAAGTTTCTCCTATACAAATCTTCTGTTTCACTTTCCCTTTTGAAGGCCCCTTATGACCATAAATGTCAACAGTATTAAGTGTAGAGTAAAGTCCACGTGTTAGTGTTACTGACTTCTCTCCGGGTGATCTCTCGGCTTGTGCATCTCTCTCATCAGAGGTGGACTTGGAGCCCCTGCCTGGACCCAGTCTGTCCTGCAAGGCCGACTCCTTGTTCATGTTCAGCTGGGAGTACGGGCAGCCAAAGGAACTGAACACAAAGACAGAAAAAAAAACATGCTAAGTCAATGGTCAATCACAATTCTGACAACCAACATTCAATCGACCATCAAAAATTCAACTACCAGCAGTTTGTTTGATACGTTTTATCATCTTCTAAGAAAGTTACAACTTTATTTTTAATTAGCAATTTTATGCAAGTCTATTTCCAACTTGTCCCATCCATTGGGACAAGTCAGGAAGGAAAGCAAAATTTTGAAAGGATTATATTATTATTTGTTTTGCGGTACGACATGTATCAGTTATATATTGCCATGCTTTTTTGTTTCAAATATAAAACTCAAATAAGGCCACACCAATTTAATTTGTTGGTTCTCGGATTCGCCTCTTCATTTTTTCCTGATTTGCAAAAAAAAAAAACCATTCTGGATCTGAATCAACTCAAAAATGCTCATATTTTGCTCCCAACAGTTGCGGAAAGTTCTTTTCTTCCTAGTTGTTACAGTTTTTCCATCTATCAATGCAGTGGTTTGATTAAAAGTTCTAAATTTATAGTTTAAATTTAACCCAGCCTTTTGTGTTGACTTCATGGCTCCAATCGAAGCATTTGGGGCTATAATAGGATGCCTAGTACTGTTTTTATTTTTATTTTTTTTCGCCCTGTCGCTTCATATTTTTTCTGAAAAAATCCAAGAACCAATAAATTAAATTGGTGTGGCCTAAAGAAAGATTTAAAAAAAAAAATTTTGAAAGTCAAAATTTTGAGAAAGCAAAGGATTCCCACCAACATAACACCTTACCTGTGATGTCCAGAATACTTGGGTCCCTTGATGTGACCAATCCCTTTGCAGCCCGGAGTTGGGCATCCAATTTGCCTGTTGGACACAATGTCATGAACATGAGAGCCCCCTACTGACTTTTAAACAAACTGCAGGCATGAACTTTCTTAGGGAAATGAATGCCCTTGGGGCTTTATTGAATGAAAGCACGGGAAAGAAGTACTTACCCATCTGTATCCAAATCTGCTGGAGCTGTAACAAAGTGAAACAAATACTAAATATGGGAATGCAGGATATTTCTGTCAAATTCATTGTCGAGTTTAGTAAAATCATTATCTATAATAGCATACAAGTAATCGCCATGTCATGGCCAGCGAGTGGTAGGCAAAAAGCAGGTGACGATTGGCTGATTTGCTTACCGATAATTTGCACATGTCTTCAAATGATTTGCATGTATATGATGTAAACAAAAACAGCAATGGCTTGTATCCATAACTGAGAAAACCAGCAAACAACAGTGTAAAACACTCACAAGGGGGTCCCTGTATGGGGTGCGCAGTTTTCGCACACCAAGTAGCTGGGTGTACGTCTGGGCTGTCTGCGTCCTCCCAGTAGTCATAGATGTCTGCCCAGCCATCGAAGTGGATTTTTATACGAGCCTCGTCAGAATCAACTATGGTGGCGACGCGGATCAGCGAAGGGTTGCGTCGGTCCACCGCCTCGATTTTGTACCCTTTCAGGAAGCCATGGGACACTTTCTGCTCAAAACAAAGACATGCATTTAAACAAAGAAACAGATGCTCATATGCCAGGAAATTCCTGCATTCATTTTTGTTCAGGAAGAATAATGAATTCTTAACTCTCCAACAGCAGTTGCACAATCAGGGCTCGACATTCATTTTTGGGAATAGGTGCAAAGAAGCACCCAACATTAAAAATTTTGGGGATACACCATATGAAACAAAACCTAATTACAGATCTTACTGCTCCTCTTCTATGCTTGAATCTGAAATGGTTGCTAACTTCAAAATCTTAAACAAGTACTACAATAAAGATTTTATTACTTTCTTACACTTAGATGCTGAGAATATCCTGTATACCATGTGCAAAAAAAACTACAAAAATATTTGTGCACCAGTGCACCCACAGAAAAAAATTAGGTGCACAGCTCCAATTTTGGGTGCACAATTTTGGGTGCAATTTCGAGCCCTGAGAATAATAATTACAAAACTCCCTGTGTGTCTGGTACTGACCGGTTTGAATGCCCGTGCAGGGACGGCCTGAGACTTGGTCTGAGTGAGGTAGTCCTGCCAGGTGAAGTGCTCGGGTTCTGGGTAATCTACACAGGAATAAACAAACTGTTTACCGTGCTGGTCAGAAGAAAACACATTCCTTCAAGGAAAATAAAGACTACCGGACAAGAAAAATGATGTTCATAACAATTCAACAATGATTTGCCCTTCCGCACATTGAGCTGAATGCTACAACTAACTGATCAGGTACATACATACATCAGTGAAGGTTAGACATACAGGTAACAAAATTCGCCAAAAAACAGTTACTCAAGCAACTGGATATGATATGTTGGAAACGGCCAGACGTTTCTGGTAGAATCAACTACCTTTCGTCGGTGACACTGGTCTGTACAAGTATCTGTATCCATATAGCCGGTATAATCGCCTTTCGGCATAACATGCCAGCTACCAACATACCAGTATTCACATGTATGGAAAAAGACAGGATGTGATCTTGGATATATGAAACTCCCCTTCACGGCATGTATGACTTTAAGAATGTGACTTTCTAGTTCTGATTGTTTTTTGAGACATGTGGATGAATCCCTCACCCTTGGGAGGAGTCAGGATGTTTGCTGTCTCCTCACACCAGCCCACAGGGTGGATGTACGGGGAGTTGGGCTCACACCAGTAGTCATAACCGTCGTCCCAGCCGTCAAAGTGCACCAGGAAACGGTTGTCCATGACATCACGCACGGTGGCCACGCAGATCAGGCTCTGGTTCTTGATGTCGACAGCCTCCAGCTTCATGCCAACTCGAAAGCCATGAGAGCTTACATTCTGGTGAGGGAGGAAATGATCAATCTTACTACATATAATAGTATCAATTAATACTAAACAGTATTTAAGTTAAACATAGAATGCTACCAGAGGACTAGCACCCCAGTAAAGTGTTATCTGTGTGACACAAGTGCTGAGGAAACAAAGTTGGATGCTACTGATACACCATATAACGTGGAAAGGACTTAAGCTTGACATTTCCTATACATAAAAAATGGACTGTGCGAGACAACCATCTTACTTATATGCCAAAAAACAGTTACTCAAGCAACTGGATATGATTTTGAAAACGTCAGACGTTTCAGCTAGTATCCACTAGCTTTCGTCAGTGACTGAGAGACCAGAGGGGAAAGCAGGTTTATATACTGTAAATCCATTTAAAAATGCGGTTGGAAATTATAGCGGTCGGCGAAAAATGGACAAGCTCACGTCACTTAATTATAGCGGTGTGAGAACATGGTTGATGTGTGTAAAAAAACACATTAAAAGTCGCTGGCCTTTTTTTTAAGAAAATAAAAAAAGCAGTTTACGCCAGCGAAAATCAATTTTAACAAAGAAAAAACAAAACAGGCACGCCGATGGTGTCTGGAAGTAAATAATTTACAAAGTACTGTAGCGGCACGGTGACTTCAAAAAGTTCGTAATTACGCACGCTTGTGTTGCGTGCGGCACCGCCGCCCCCTCCCCAAGCTCCATGCCGCGGCACGCTATGCCGCTGCACGCCGCTACATGTCCGGCGCCGCAGACGAGCTTACAGCGAAACCCGGCGTCTTCGCCCTAGGATTGAAGCGTAATGGAATACATGACGCCCTCGAGAAAGTTCTACAGACACTGTAGCCTTTAACAGTAACGTTTTATCGTATTTTTTGCCGTAAAAGTTGACTCGCAATTTTCGAAAAACTTGTGACGCCATTTTTTTCACTCGGCGCTTGGTTCCCGAATTTTCGATTCGTCTTAGTCGTAGCACGCTATTAACGCTTTTACATTTTGTAGTACAAATGACGCTTAACATTTGATTGTATTTCTACCTAGATTTCTACCTCGAAATTAAGCAGATTTATGCCGCATTTCTCGTAGTTTGTAACTTGTTTGTGAAGTTGGCCGCCGGGCCGCCATTTTGTTTGTTGTTGTCTGCGCGCTTGGGCGACGCTGAATTTTGTAACTCGTCTCATTTTTTTCGATATTGTCCCGTAGTAGCACAAAATGAACGGCTATCGTTTCTGTAGATTTATGAAGAAACTTCTAAATCGAAATATTTATAAATACCCAAGTGTAGATAAGCTGGGAAATTTCAAAGCGTCACTGCGTCACATGTGTTTGTGCATGTTCACAAGATTTTTTTTTACTGTGGTTTGCTTAGCACTGCATAATTGTTAAAAATATGAACTACTTTATGTTTAATAAATATTTTATTTCTGGAAGCACATCAGTGTTTTGCTTGTTCCTATGTGAAGCACTAGTACTGTGCGTTGTGTGCATGTTGCAGTCAAGAAATGAAGCGTGATTGCGATCGTACCGTAACGAGCTTGGGGCGGAAGTGGTAAAAAAAAGTTGCGATCATGAAAATTTAGCGGTGGAATAGTGACCGCTAAAACCGCTATAATTAAGTGACCGTTATCAAATCAAGAATTACAGTACACAACCTGTTGATTGATATGCAAATAAAGTGAAGACAAATTTTTGGAAGTCGAAAAAGGAACAAAAGTCAGACAAGTCAAGACAAGATGATGCAAATTAGTCTGAAAGCTCCTGTTATACAGGACAGGAGCTTAAGTGTTGTCTGTCCTCGGGGCTGGGAGTGCCAAATCCCAAGTGCCGGAAAGATCGACCCGTAGCCCCCCTTCCCTGTTGAGGGTGGGGTTGTACATTCTTTCATATATTGCCTCTTTAACACCCCGTTCCCACCAGCGTGTTTCGCGGTCTAAGACATCCGTGGACTCGAGTTTGAAAGAGTGACCCTGGTTGTGTTGTAGGTGGTGGAAAATAGCTGAGGAGTAGCCGTTGGCACTAGGTCGGCAATGTTCTTTGTACCTTACTTTAAGCGGTCGACTTGTCTCTCCGATGTAGGTGTTGTTACAATTGGGCTCCTCACATTTGAGTCTGTAGATAACATTCGCCTTGGTACCCTTGTGAGGTCGGTCCTTAGGGTGTACCAGTCTTTGTCTGAGGGTTGAGTGAGGTTTGAAGTTAGTGGCTATGTTGAAGTTTTGGAAGATCCGTCGGAGTTTCTCAGATACTCCTTGGACATACGGAATAGTGATGTTGGCCTTGTTTTTGTTGGTCAATGGTTTGCACTTCTGGGTTTTCTTAGACTGATCTGAAGGTTTGAGCGCTTTGTTGAAAGTCCAGTTTTGGTAGCCACATTTAGCCAGGGCACCTCGGAGGTGTCTTTGTTCGTCCGTTTTGGCTTGGTCTGAAGTGACAATGTTGTCTGCACGATGGAAGAGAGTTTTGATCACTGCTAGTTTGTGTTCCAAAGGGTGGTGGGAATCAAAAGCCAGGTACTGATCAGTGTGGGTTGGTTTCCTGTACACTTCGAAACGAAGGTTACCATCTTCCTCTACGATAGTTTTGGTGTCTAGGAAAGGGAGCATGTTGTCATGGCTTGGCTCCTGTGTGAACTTGATGTTGTCATCTATCTGGTTGATGTGGTCAAAGAAGTCAGCAGCTACCCTCTTTTTCAATCTGCACCAAGTGTCATCTACATATCGAAACCAGTTGGCCGGGGGAGTGTCATTGAAAGTGCTGAGGGCTTTGTTTTCAAACTTCTCCATGTACAGGTTTACAACAATTGGTGAGACTGGTGATCCCATAGCACAGCCGTGCATTTGTTGGTAGAACTGACGAAAGCTAGTGGATACTAGCTGAAACGTCTGACGTTTTCAAAATCATATCCAGTTGCTTGAGTAACTGTTTTTTGGCATATCGTATTACCTGGATGTCTAACCTTCATCGACGCATCTTACTTATAAGCTATTGAAATTGCAGGCTGTAGCTATCCTTTCTAACCCTCACACAAGAGGGTACATAAAAGAGGCACTCATCCGTCGTAGACGATGGGAGAACCAAGAAGAGCTATCCTTTCTCTATCTTGAGCGGGAGGAACGGTTATTCTAACTGCAGTCATGGCCGATTAACTGGATATTCACTGGACAGGATTTTTACAGAACTGGTTATGAAAAGTCTGGTATGAACGCTAAGGGTTTTAGCCGGGTTTTCCTCCGCTAATTATTTAGCGGTTTCAACTGGTTTTTAAAAGTCTGGTATGAACGGGATCTTAGTCGCTTTCTCTTAACTTAAAACAACTGAAACACACAAACCTCATATTTGTCATAGTACTCGTATCTTGGCTTTGAGTTTGCGCTGACCGGGGCAGGGCGGAACAGGTGTTTGGGAGCAGGTTGGGACTTGGTCACCTTCAGGTAGTTGTTCCAGTTAAAGGTTTCCTGTGTGAAGCCTGGAGAGAATATTTATGAGTGGTTTGAGTGGCACTGAGAATAACATGAATTATGCAAGAGGGAGCTCCATGCAGTGACTGAGAAAAACACTGTGTTTATTCTTCTGCACTCATTGAAAAATAGTAATGTAAGACCTCAAAATGAGAATGACGCATTGGTACATGACTGATTTCCAATATTCAGAATGTGTTAACTTAGTTTTATACATAAAACATGAGTAGCCAAAAGTCATCACATCAGAATTTAGCAGATGGACATGTTCATGCAGGGCTAACTACAAATACCTAAACTGTTTTAAATGATGCAGAGCATGATGATTAAAATAGCAGGCAGAAGACAACATGCTATGCCATCACAACAAGCCACTCACCAAAGCCTGCACCAACCATCCAAGCAGCAAGAAAAGCAGAAAGATGAAAACAAAATTACTTTCACAAAAATGTATCAAAAGATTTTAAAACAAATTTGCATACACATCACAGAAATATAATATACCATGAGGCACGGTGCTGACAAATAATGTTCCTGCAAAACAAAAATGGGTGAAAGGAAGTACTATTTATGATTAACCTGTATTGTTGGCATGCATGATTGAAAGAACTGTCATAACTGCCATGTGTACCTGTTACTGATACAAAGCTATTCAAAGAGGAGTCCTTGCACATGTCAAGAAAATCTTAATAACTATCCTCTTTGCAGAATTGTACAGAAAAATGTCTTTACCCAATAGTCTTCCACTAAAATACTGATTTACATGTAGCTGAAACGTCTTGGGTAATTACATTTTTCCTCACTAAATAAAATCACCATCTTTAGACAAAAAAAAGCTACCTTTGGGGACAGACAGTTTGTGGTTGGTTTTCTCACACCAGCCGACAGGTTTGATGTCCACAGAGTCGGCGTTCCTCCAGAAGTCGTAGCACTCCGAGTACCCGTCGAAGTGCAGGCGGACACGGTAACCCTTGATCTCAGCCACACTCAGCACACAGAACAGGGAGGGGTGTTTGGGGTCAATGCCCTCCAGCTTCATGCCATACTTGAAGCCATTCTTGCCTTGAGGGAAGGGCTGGTGATTTCAATGGGGAACAAGATATACATAAATTGAATATTCAGTTCTGCAATGTTTACCAAAGATAAAATCTTTGGCATGGGCCCAGTTTTAAGTTTGGACTAAAATTTCCTAACTGACTAAGAATGCTTGCATTGAGGTCTTTGATGTACAACGTAAACCTACATTTAAAATTACAGCAAAAAAATGCATTTTGAAATGGAAGTTAATACACTTTGACCACTAAGAAAAGTACTGCAATACCCTGTCATTTTGTTAAGATGTGCATTTTTACAAGATTCAAATGTGCTACACCTGTGCCTATGACTTACCTCCTTAAACAGCTTGACCGGAGCTGCTAAAGCCTTCTCTTGCTCCAGATACGTGGCCCAGTTAAAACCCTTTCTTCTTCCTAATGAATAAAACAATGGATCTGAGATTAACTTTAATCACAAGATCATTGTCAATCTCTGTATGACTTGAACAAACCAAAAGGAAGACTAGCATAATTCAAAGAAATAAGAAATTGTCATAAACAACAAAAATCAGAATATGACAAGTAAAAATATACTGTGAGAAACTGACAAACTAGGTAAATAAGACATTTAAATATGACAGAATCTGACAGAGCAGTCACTTCAGATCTAAACCCTCATCTGTCTTCAACTTTCTGCACAAGTCTATTTTGAAGCAAAATCAATAGTCTGACTACCTTAAGACCATTCCTAGCCAAAAAATGATATCCCCAAGATGGCTGTTAAACTTCAAGTCCCACAAAATTCTAGAAACTGTTCCAACAATAATTCCAGCATCATTCCTGCCTATATAGAGACCCTGTCAGCATCAAGAATGACATCCTTGAGCCAGTTCCAACAGCTCTTTCTGTGACTGACAGCTCTGTCAGACTATTCCACATCACACATGTAGATACCATGTTTGATGACTCTAGGCTCTTTACCCTCCTCTCCTGCCGCTCCCTCAGGAGACAGCTTGATTGTCATTTTCAGGTCACCGTGAGGCTTCTCCTGCAAAAATAACAGAACATAGTTTCAAAAATAGACAATCCCTTTATGCCTCAGTCACTTACAAATGAAGATACTAGTAAGCTATTGTTGTTTTACCTGTCTAAGTGTTACTTATTTGCATGAAACCATGTCACATTTGCAACCAAAATTACCTGGTCATCCTCTTCCTCTTCAGAAAGATGAAACTTCTTAAACTTCTTCTTCTTCTTTTTGGCAAGCATCCTCTGCTTGGCCAGCTGCTCCTGGATGTGTCTGGAGAATGAGAGGAGGTTAGACACCTGACTGATAACTTTTGTGTACTGTAACTACCTCTGTGGCCTGTTGAGTAAGATATTGCATCAAGAAATCTTTTGTTTACCAGTAACAGCTACTTGATACTCTTTGGTTGGTGCTGATATCATTAAATATGCACTGCATTATCACTTCATCCTTCCCAAAAAAATTGAACCTGATCAGCTAAACAAATTCAAAGTTGCAGCTCAATACTCATCATCAACATCAAGGTTACAGCTACACGATACCCACTTTGGTTGGTGCTGGTATCTGCTGGCGTATATAGCCACGCAGGCCTGGCTGCAGAAGCGTCCTGACTTGAGGAACTCTCCGGGTACGCCGTACTTTCCGCAGCACTCGCAGCAGTGGATCCCCTTCATCTGCTCGTGGGGGTCAAACGAGGCCGCGGCAGTGGTGGAGGCCATGCTGGTGGTGAAGTCTGCATGGGGAATACATGCATACTGTGATAACTGAACACAATCTCAAGTCTTTTCAACTTAAAATTTGTATAAGGCAGAGAAATACCATAACATGATAATCTGATATTCCTTGATAAATGCTAACCCTTTTGACTACATGCTGAGTCACTACAAGCAATAAATTAGCAGAAAGCAAATTCTAAAAGATGAACTGGCGACAGAAAGTCAAGAGGGACCTCCAAGCAGTAAAATAAGAGCTGGGAAGAGGCCTTGAGGTTGACTGCTGACAGAACAAGCTGGACTACGCTGACTGCCTCAAGTCTAAGTAAATTCTAATTTCCGAGTCTAAGAAGCATCCTCAAAACTCAAAATACCACAACAAACTAGAGATAGCAAAACCCCTGCTCACCAGTTTTTCCCTTGGTCTGTGTGGTTGTGACAGTAGTAGGGGTGGAGGAGACGGAGGAGGAGGATGTGGAGGTAGTCGCAGAGTCCTCCGACCCCAGGCTCCACACAGACTGTTCCCCATCTTCTGTCTCCACTGTACTGATGATCTCCAATGTTCCAAACTCATTCATCTTAAACTGGGGAGATCATAAGAGTGAAAAATGTGAATGTGGAGAGGTCAAAGATTCCATGTCAATGGCTTCTTCAGAACATTGTACATACAAAATGATAATAAATAATGGAATTTAACTACATTATTTGCTCTTATAAATTTTTCTTGGTACTCTTTGGATAATACTTCTTCTGAAAAATGGCATTACTGAATGTATCACTTTCTTCCACAGCCATAATGTCTTGGCAATGTTGAAGTCAGTCATATAACATTAAACAGCATTTGAATGACAGTAGAGGCATATTTTTACTGGCCTTATGCATCCTCGTGTTGTACACAAAAATACACACTTTGTTAGAATTAAGGGATGCCACCTGTGATACCTACCTTGAGGTTACTCCCAGGTAAGGTTGCTATCCCATCCTTCCATTCCATGGCTGAGATGGGGTCAAAGTCACCTGGACCTGGAGTGGCATCAGCAGATTTCTTCTCTTCTCCACTCTGTTCCGCCGGTTGTGGCTGAGACTGAGCCTGTGCAGCTGCTCCATTGGTCACTGTCTCGATGTGGATCTGCGGCTGCCCCTTGGCTGGTTGCTGCTGTAGCTCCTGCTGCTGTTGAGGCTGGACCTCCTGCTTTACCACCACTGTTGGCTGCTGCTGGACCTGCTGTGTTTGGAAGTAGTTTCATTAGATTGGTAAATCAATACACTGTGTATCCTGGGCTCATACTAGATAGTCCATCAAATGGATTTTATCTGCTAATGTAACCTTTTAGTAACCTTTCCCCATGAACTTCAGAAGAACCCCTCACAAGGCTCAAAGGTCCACTTTTTATCTAAAGGTCCAAGACTTTTCTTTAAAAGATGGACTGATTTGTATCACCAGTGGGGCTGGAATAGTAGAAAAACTGCTTAATTTGTCATGTTGTCAGTTATGTCTGATTTTTCCTTTGAAATCCTCTCAAAAATGCAGGAAATGCCATTTCAGAAGGTTCAATTTTCGAAATTTTCTGGGGGATAGAAGCCTCGCGCTCACTACGCACCTGTAGTGCTTGTTGGTCCCTCAGACATTGACAAGAACCCTCCCATTCAAAATCCTGGCTACGGCTATGAACTATACTAAAGCTCCTTGCACGTTGTGTCATAGTGGCAAGAAGCTTTCCCAACCATGACTCACCTGCTGTGGCGGCTGCACCTGTGGCTGCACCTGCGGTTGTGCTGCAGCTGCTGGCTGTTGGACCTGCACCGGTGGTGGCTGCTGCTGTATCTGCAGCTGCACTGGCTGCGGCTGCACCTGGGCCAGCTGCAGCTGCACCTGTTGTGGCACCTGCGCCTGCTGCAGGTGGCCCTGCGGCTGCTGGAGCAGCTGCGGCTGCGTCGCCACCTTCTGCGGCTGGCTGATGATGGGAGTTGCAGACACTGCTGTGCAGGAACACGACAGAAAAAATTTTTTACAAACTCTGGCAGTTTCTTCATAGTGTTTGCACTAATTCATATTTATGTCATGTTGACATATAGAACATGACAGAAAAAAAAGTGTTTTACAAACTCTGGCAGTTTCTTCATAGTGTTTGCACTAATTCATATTTATGTCATGTTGACATAAAGAACATGACAGAAAAAAATTGTTTTACAAATCTTGGCAGTTTGTTTATTTCAATTCAAAATCAATCCTTTATTATTATTATATCAACATTGCAGACATACATATAAAGTTGCCTAAATGACGATATTTACGATATTGTGTTTGTTCTAATTTATATTTATATCATGTAAACATATCGATATCAGTTGTGCTGTAAGTTGATGGTTACAGTGTCTACTGTGTCAAACATTTCAGCCCTCAAAAATGTCTTTCAAGAAGAGGCAACATAGAAGCCTAGTCACAATCGATATAATATCCATTCTCTATATATTGCATTTTCTGATTCTTCCACCGATTCACCACAAAGAATCCAGTATGAGGAGGGATTACAAAACAAGATAACAGACAGATAACCAGCTGATGTAAAATCACTTGCAGCTGACAGAGTTGTACCTTGCTGCGCTGCCATGGCAGGTTTTGTCTGCACCAGAGGTAACACACCAGGCAGGGTGGTCACCGTGACTACAGCTGCCTTTGTAGTGAGAGGCTGGCTGATGATCTGTGGCTGCACCACTTGTGGGGACGACTTCAAGATGGCTGCAGTCTGCTGGGCGTCAGGGCTTAAAACTGTCCCTTTGAAGACAGGAAACCAAGCACGGTAAACCTCTGAACTTAGACAGCTAGTTTATCTATCTCCATGTTGAAGTCATAATTCAATGAACATGGAGCTAAAGTGCTCAAAAGCTGGAAACAAAGAATAAATCAAATTGGTTGATCTGACACTGTTGTAAACATACTTGACCTCTCCCTCTGCACATCTGTGTACCAGTAATATACAAACTTTATTCCTGGTGTAAGCAAGACAAATCAAGCATAGCAAGCCAAGAGACCATTGTCAAAAAAAAATTCAAGAAATCAAGCAAGTTGGCCTAGATAGAAAATATCACAGATGATTAAACAAAAACATCTAACAGTATAAAGCAGTGGTCAAAATAGCCACCTGCAAAATGTACAATATCCATGAAACTTAAGATTAAAGAAAAAAAATCAAAATAATGTCCATTTTGGCAAGCCAAAAGGATACAGGCTAAGCAGAACGAAACATTTAAAATATAGCAGAGAACAGAAACAAGGTACACAGGTTAATAGTAATTAGTAGTAATTAGCCTACCTGGTCTAACCACTAAGTTTGCAGGTTTGAGATTGATAATATCCATAATTAAGATTGAATTTAAAAAATGTGCAATTTGGCAAGCTAAAAGAATACATGCTAAGCACAATGAAACGAATAT